GTCACTATAAAGTGTTACAACTTTAATTTAGACACAAAACACAAATAGTAATTGGAAAGGTACTGCCATTACATGTGTAATGCAAATATATTTAAAAAAAAAATAATATAAGAGTTGAAATTGATACAACTATTCATAAGCCAATTGACCAAAGAACGAAGATTTGCACAATTACAGAATGCATATGCCTGGTTCGGGTTTAAAAATAAACGACCGTTTAAATACAAAACATGAGAAGCGACAATAAACAGTAAAAATCGATTTGTACCATCGGCATCGACATGATGAAATTATGAGGTCGTCAAGAAATGAACTTTGTGATAATTTACTCGTTCCCCAAACCTGAAATAATCCCATCGTCTACTTTCAAAATGCTTTTTAAATGAATGGGACCGTCTTAAACCTAAAATATATGCCATACTGAACGTTACAGCTTGTTTATGGTGAGTAAACCTGCGTCTTACAAACAACTGTTTACTTTCAGTTTGAGTTTATCGTGACTTACGATCTAAGAACTAGAGACGTTCCGAAATCCTGTTTTGTAAACAAAGATTCATACGCACCGCGTGGGTATAACCGTATTACTAATTTCCGATTTTTAAAATCTTCGTAAATCTGGATAAAGACCAGTTTCTATCCAATGGATATCAAAATGATTCCGATTTTCACTTTTTTAATGATTGTAAAGTTGAAATGGCATGAAAGGCTGACATTATTTAGGAGAACAATTTTGTCTAGCGATTGCTGATCATTGGAGGGTAAAAAGTCCAACACCATAACAAAACGGATCTATTTATCATGTATACATACCGATTGTTTACGATTGTAAGACATGTGCATAAAAGTGTAAGCTCGAATAAATATGTAAAATATAACAAAGGGATATCTCCAAATACCATTTAATAACAAAAAACATATGGACAGGTCAAGATATCTTTTTGGTAAATAAAATAAAGTATGTAAACTGGTTCCCGTCCGACTACAACACTTTGTTAGAGTGTAGCGTAATACAAGCAGATTCCAGTTAGTATGTAAAATCAATCTCCCATACAGACAGAGTTGTCGTCCTTTCCTCCTCAATCTGGAGGAAAGGACGACAACTCTGTCTGTATGGGAGATTGATGTAAAATAGTAAATATGAAACCGAGTGCGGTAGGCGGAGGCAATAATCGACTTCCGTAAGTTCTGGTCAATGGTATCGGAAACATGCCGCTGGTACGTCATTTTCCAAAAATCTAAATACATGTTTAGATTCAGCATATCAAAGAACCCTAAAAATTCAATTTTTGTTAAAATCAAACTTAGTTTAATTTTGGACCCTTTGGACCTTAATGTAGACCAATTTGAAAACAGAACCAAAAAATAAGAATCTAAATACACGGTTAGATTTGGCATATCAAAGAACCCCAAGAATTCAAGAATAAAACCCCATTGAAATTGGTCAAGAAATAAGCAATTTATACGAAGTATCTTCTTTTGCACAATACTGTGCAATTGAATATTTCTTGCTATTGCGCAATACTGCACAATTGACAATTTCTTGCTATTGCGCAATATTGTGCTATTGGATATTTCTTGCTATTGCGCAATACTGTGCAATTGAAGATTTCTTGCTATTGCGCAATACTGTGCAATTGAAGATTTCTTGCTATTGTGCAATACTGTGCAATTGAAAATTTCTTGCTATTGCACAATACTTATTATATAAAAATTTACACATCCTGTTTGGTTTGTATCTCCTACCATATCATTATTATTTGCATTTAAATATAAATCAGAAATAACCAACTTAAAATGGAAAATTTTAAAAGAAAAAAAAAAAGGAAAAAAAAAAAAATCCCCCCCCCCAAATTTTTTGAACCCCCTTATGATTCATCACCCCCAAACTCAATCCCAGCCATCCCTTTGTGGTATGGTACCTTGCAGTACAATTTCAGAGAGATCCATACACTTGAACACAAGTTATTGTCTGGAAACTAGAAAAATGTGTTTTTTGGCCCCTTTTTGGCCCCCAATTCCTAAACGTTTCGGGCAATTACCCCCAAACTCAATTCCAGCTTTCCCTTTGTGATATGGAACCTTGTAGTACAATTTCAGAAATATCCAAACACTTACACACAAGTAATTGTCATGAAACTAGAACAAGAGTGCACACGCTGAAATGTCTCGCCTTCTTTACTAATCATTGATATTATGTTGATAGTCCTAAATATAAAGCTTTATTACAACTGTCACATAAACTTAACATTAACCAAGTAAACTAAACATTGACCAATGAACCATGAAAATGAGGTCAAGGTCAGATGAACCATGCTAGGCAGGCATGTACAGCTAACAATTCTTCCATACAACAAATAGAGTTGACCTATTGCTTATAGTTTAAGAAAAACAGACCAAAACACAAAAACTTAACACTGAGCAATGAACCTTGAAAATGAGGTCAAGGTCAAATAAAACCTGTGTGACTGCCAAATAGATCATAAAATATTTCCATACACCAAATATAGTTGAACTATTGCATACAGTATAAGAAAAACAGACCAAAACACAAAAACTTAACTATAACCACTGAACCATGAAAATGAGGTCAAGGTCAGATGACACCTGCCAGTTGGACATGTACACCTTACAGTCCTTCCATACACCGAATATACTAGACCTATTGCTTATAGTATCTGAGATATGGACTTGACCACCAAAACTTAACCTTGTTCATTGATCCATGAAATGAGGTCGAGGTCAAGTGAAAACTGTCTGACGGGCATGAGGACCTTGCAAGGTACGCACATACCAAATATAGTTGAACTATTGCACATAGTATTAGAAAAAAAGACCAAAACTCAAAAACTTAACTTTGACCACTGAACCATGAAAATGAGGTCAAGGTCAGATGACACCTGCCCGCTAGACATGTACACCTGACAATCATTCCATACACCAAATATAGTAGACCTATGGCATACAGTATAAGAAAAACAGACCAACACACAAAAACTTAACTATAACCACTGAACCATGAAAATGAGGTCAAGGTCAGATGACACCTGCAGTACACCTTACAGTCCTTCCATACACCGAATATACTAGACCTATTGCTTATAGTATCTGAGATATGGACTTGACCACCAAAACTTAACCTTGTTCATTGATTCATGAAATGAGGTCGAGGTCAAGTGAAAACTGTCTGACGGGCATGAGGACCTTGCAAGGTACGCACATACCAAATATAGTTATCCTATTACTTATAATAAGAGAGAATCTAACATTACAAAAAATCTTAACTTTTTTTTCAAGTAGTCACTGAACCATGAAAATGAGGTCAAGGACATTGGACATGTGACTGACGGAAACTTCGTAACATGAGGCATCCATATACAAAGTATGAAGCATCCAGACCTTCCACCTTCTAAAATATAAAGCTTTTAAGAAGTTAGCTAACGCCGCCGCCGCCGGATCACTATCCCTATGTCGAGCTTTCTGCGAAAAAAGTCGCAGGCTCGACAAAAATGCTTGTTTTTTGCCCCTTTTTTGGCCCCTAATTCCTAAAATTTGAGGCAATTACCCCCAAAATCAATCCCAGCATTCCCTGTGTGATATGGAACCTTGTGGTACAATTTCAGAGAGATCCATACACTTGAACACAAGTTATTGTCTGGAAACTAGAAAAATGTGTTTTTTGGCCCCTTATTCCTAAACATTTCTGGCAATTACCCCCAAACTCAATTCCAGCTTTCCCTTTGTGATATGGAACCTTGTAGTACAATTTCAGAAAGATCCATACATTTTCACACAAGTTATTGTCATGAAACTAGAAAAATGCTTGTTTTTTGCCCCTTTTTCCTAATATTTTGAGGCAATTACCCCCAAAATCAATCCCAGCATTCTCTTTGTGATATGGAACCTTGTGGTTCAATGTCAGAGAGATCCATACACTAACACACAAGTTATGTCTGGAAGTTACAAAAATGCTTATTTTTGGCCCCTAATTCCTTAACTGTTGGTACCATAACCCCCAAAATCGATCCCAACCTTCCTTTTGTGGTATTGAACCTTATGGTAAAATTTCATAGAGATCCATTCACTTAAACTAAAGTTAGAGTGCGAAAACCAATGTGTCTTCGGACGACGACGCCAACGTCATACCAATATACATTGCGGTCGTATAAAAATATATAAAATATCCCCCCCCCCCTTTTCCATTTTACACACCCCTAGATGTAGACTATTAAAGTATTATCAGTTTCACCCCCAGAAAGTATTCATTTTTAATGAAATAATCTTAGCAGTTAATCAAAATGATAATCTTAAATAACAAGAAATGTATCTGTTTCTTGTTAAAGGGGTTTTCCAAATTTTCCCGCCAAAAAAGCACATGGCTTTCAACAAATGTAAACAAAGCAGTCAATTTGTGATCATGGATTACAGCTTTAATTAATTTAATTTGGATATAGATATTCAATGAAAGGTACAGTCAAGCATTGTTTTTACTTTCTTCTGGATTAAAACTAGTTTAAAAGATCAATTTAAAAAAAATAATCCTTGATATATATATAAACAACAGACGATCTACGGATACATCAAACGCAAATTGTCATCTTTTAAGAAATATTGAAATTGAAATGCTGACTGACCGAATTTAATGAGAAAAATTATTACAATGGTCAATTATGAAGTTTAATTAACGGATTAATGACCCATCCGATGTCGATAAGCGGATTATCTGTAATCACAACTTATATTACACCTGCTGTAAATGTTAATTAGCTGAGGGTCATAAACTTGTCATAAATATGAAGACAGGTAGAATAAATGTATTTTCATCAAAATATTACGGCAATAAAGGCATGTACTTACGAAAAAGGGCAGGGCGTCTTAAAAAAGGGCACAGGGCGTCAGAAAAAGGGCACAGGGCGGTACTCGGGAAAGGGCGGGTGGACCGCCCTGTGAAAACGACCTAGCTGGAACACTGTATATAACAAATATCAAAATACAGAACACAATTATCAAGAACAAAAATTTTTATTTTATATAAAACATTTTTTTCAAGTAACTTTGACTAGTATGACAATTAAATGAAAATGATTGATAATTAGTGAAAATAAACATAACAATTACTTGAACAATAAAAGTACAATAAAATTAATCCAGTAGTCATTATAAAGCATGTGATTATATATCATGCATTTTTTCTAATAATTTCAGTACAAATTTGTCCACCCAGAACAAGAAGTTGGTATTAATTCATTCAAATTGTGTTATTTAAAATGGGCATTTAGTTCAGCTAATGTATAAGGATGTACAATTTACACTAAACTTTGACCTTTGAATTATTTAGAAATTAAAATCTGAAAGAAATTAGCTAGAAACCAAAAAAAAATATGGTTTATACAAAATTAACATACTGTTCTCTAAAATAACAGCCTGATATTTTTTAGAAAGTGATTATTAAATATTACCACTTTGTAAATTTAAATTTCTTCTAGCTTAATGTTTTATTTTTAATGAATTTTATTACAAATTCAAAACAAATTTAATGTATAAATACATTGATTAGAATATTTGCAATCCAAAACTCAAAACAATGTTCTGTGCAAAATATGTATTGAATATTGAAGTATACTGTGTCTATAATTCAATTTAAAATAATTTGCAGCACCAATATGCTTGAAAATCAATTAATCATTAATGAATATGTTGTCTGAACATTTTCATCTGAAACATATCTCGGCTCTTTTAAAGGAACTTTATCAAAATTAACAATCAGAAGTGAAAGTATTCATAAGTCTTGTAGAAAAATACCAAAAAAAGAAAAACTTACATATTGTCTAAAACAAAGAAATCATGAACTTTACAAAAACACTCAATTACCATTTAAGATAATGAAACAGTAAATGGGCTATATCACAGATTTTTGTAAAGTTTTGCATACAACTTTACAATGAACTTGAAATGAAAATAGAAACAAGAACGCATTTAAACGTTATTGAATGGAAATCCTTAAAATAGGCAAACATTGTATAAATTGTATGTGAAATCTATTATAAACTTACTCAAAATTGTATTTGAACACTCTTTCTCAACACCCAATCCATAGATGTTGTTGCCTAATAAACTTCGGTTTCACTGATGGAAAATAGTCATAGGGTCGACAACTTCATTTAGGGTATAAATCAGTTGGAGTGGAGTTCTTAATGAAAAATTACAGCAAAACATCAAACTAAGCACTATGCTGTTGCACAGTAAAGCCAATAAAACATCGTTTGTCACCACCAACAGTATAAGTGAATGGTTCATACACTGATAATGAGGTAGGTGACCCTATGATTATTTTATATCAATCAAACAGAAATTTATGTAGTTACAAGAAATCAATGTTTAGGAAAATCTTTGGATTGGTTTTGAAGATCTGATTAAGTATGACAATCTTAAGAATGTTTTTCAGCAATTTTACATGCATTCTATTTAAGAATATCTATTTTAAAAGAAATCATTTAATTCTTATTCAGAACATAAAAGAGATAAATGCATTATTTTTTTTATTTCTAGCTCAAATTTAAAAGTGTGCAAAATCTCTTGAAATCTTGTGATATGGCTCATTTACTGTAACTTGACCTTAAATTGGTCATACTATATATCCACTAGAACTGATGGCTGATTTTTAATCATGATCAACAATAGAATTACAGTAGTTCTCTTCTTAAAAAGCATACTGTATCTACAATAATTTTTCTAAAGGACTCATAATTTTTATCCCAAAAAGTTCAGACTTAATGCAAAGCAATACAGTATCTTGCAGAATGCTAACATAAGTAGCACTATCATTTGGACAACAATACACTTACTAATCTTTCCCTACAACATTAAATGTCATCTTTCACAACCATATAGTTTCTGATGATTTGATAATATGGAAGTTTCTATAATCTGTGAGACACCTTCAAATGTAATTGCTTTTACAAAATCTTTCCATCAACCTGACCTTCAGTCCAAATTTAATCTCATATTTTTTTCTATAAAGACATGACAGAAACCTACATCAAAATAACTAACAAGTTTCAGAATTTTCCAGTTCATCCACTTCATCTGGTATTGGACTGATGTTTCCTCCTGTCTTCTCTTCTGCTTCCTCCACCAACCCCTCCGGAGTCTGGTAACTCTCAGATAAGTCTGCATCAGACTCTGGTAATCTTGGCATTTCTGACAAGGGAGGCAACTGTAAAATACAATTGGCCAACATTTCAGCATTGTTCACATATATTCCATCAGAAGCACTATTATTCTGATTTGAATCGAAATCCATTGGATTAAATTGGGAAACTTCTGGGAAAGAATCCTCTCCTGCTGGCACACTGCTCATCGTTACTGTGCCATGAGCTGGTGGAAAAGATTCTTCACTGAATGTCTCCTGGTTAGGCTGAACATCCTCACAAGGAGGTAAAGCATTGACATTAAAGTTCTCTATAACACTACATATAGAAGTGGATGTTGAAAACGTATCATCAGTACTGAAATATATAAAAACAAGATGAGTTTTATAATTATAAAATCCTTTAAAAAAAACATTTTTAATAACAGCATATTTTTACTGCCACATACTAAACATTCTGAACAATAAAATACTGATAAGCAACAATACTGAATAACTTTAATACTCACTTACCATTGGTTTGAATTGGACCTTTAACTTCTGTTAAATTTTGGACTTAAAATTGCAACTGATGTTGTAGGAATTTCAAAAGTAGGGAATAGATTTCTTTGTTCATCAAACTAGCTTATAATCATTCGAAGCTGAGTTTTCAGTGCAGCTATATTTATTTATTTTGTTTTCATTTATTTGTATACAAACTATTTCTGTTTGGAATTTGTAGATATTTCAACATATCAGTGGCCAGTGCAGATGTCAAATTTGACAGACTTTTTCTTTCTTGTTTAATAAATATCATCTAATTAAAGAACCTTAGTGAGCACGCTCACATACCCCACGTCCCCACATTTTCATTGGAGAAATAAAATATGTGTAAGCAAAAAAAATTGTATAAGAAAAAAATTGAATCATAATTTCCTGTCAATATGCACATCTACATAGTATGTCCTTATTATCGACAAAGTTTCATGAAATTATGTTGTGTGGTTTCAGAGGAGTTGCGATGACAAACTGTTGCAGAAGTACATAAGTTCAAAGGGGCGTTACTCCTAGAAAAAAAATTGAATCATAATTTTCTGTCGATATGAACATCTACATAGTATGTCCTTATTATCTAAAAAGGTTTCATGAAATTCTGTTGTGTGGTATCAGAGGAGTTGCGATGACAAACTGTTGCAGTAGTACATTGAAGCAAATAAGTTCAAAGGGGCGTAACTCCTAGAAAAAAAATTGAACCGTAATTTCCTGTCGATATGCACATCTACATAGTATGTCCTTATTATCTAAAAAGGTTTCATGAAATTCTGTTGTGTGGTATCAGAGGTGTTGCGATGACAGACTGTTGCAGTAGTACATTGAAGCAAATAAGTTCAAAGGGGCGTAACTCCTAGAAAAAAAATTGAACCGTAATTTCCTGTCGATATGCACATCTACATAGTATGTCCTTATTATCTAAAAAGGTTTCATGAAATTCTGTTGTGTGGTATCAGAGGTGTTGCGATGACAGACTGTTGCAGTAGTACATTGAAGCAAATAAGTTCAAAGGGGCGTAACTCCTAGAAAAAAAATTGAATCACAATTTCCTGACGATATGCACAACTAGATAGCATGTCCTTATTATCTAAAAAGGTTTCGTGAAATTCTGTTGTGTGGTTTGAGAGGAGTTGCGATGACAAGAAACAGGACTGACGGACTGACAGACTGACGGACGGACAGACGGACGGACGGGTCAAAAACATTATACCCTCCACAACTCGTTGCGTGGGGTATAATAAAGTTAGCTGCACAACTGGTGGCTAATCCCATATTATTATACTTCATGTCAAAATGCCCGATTTTGATTGGTTAATACGAGGGAGACAATTTATACAAAATACTCTATTACCCTTCACGGAGACACTTGCTCAAGTGTGCGCTTTAATAAATACGGATGATTGTTATGTACAAGACGACATAGTTTATTACTTTGAATTTGAAATTTAATCGACAGTAATAACAGAACATTCAGTATAATAAATTAAATAACACATATCTGTCAGAGAGGGTGATAGAGCAGATTGTTACCCCTCGAAAAGACATTGTCAACCTTGGCTTCGCCTCAGCTGACAATGTTTTCTCGGGGTAACAATCTGCTCTATCACCCTCTCAGCTATGTGTTGTTTATATTATGATATGGTATTTTTGTTTTATGTACTAGCCGAGGTGTTGTGGTTTAATGATTTAATACTTAATGTTTTGTTGTGGAAAGGATGAATTATAAATAACAGAAATGCCCACTAAATCATTTTTATCGTACTGGAAGCATTAATTCTCCTATGGTAGAGTATTAAGGAATTCAATCTGTAAAATCTAGTGAAAAATTATGTAAATTGGCAGGTGATTCCTGATGGCATTAATTATGGTGTATTATAACTGGCAGTGTATGTGTCCATAGGATATTTTGCCCTATTTGCACTATCATATTTTGCCCTATTTGCACTATCATATTTTTATATTCAGTGAACATCTGGGTCTAATTTGGTTTTTTCTGTTTAAAGTTTACTTTAAAATAAACTAAAGTACACTAAGTTTCAAGTTTTTGTAACCACATCTTCATGGTAAACTACATCAAACTAAAACTTTAACCTGATAAGGAACATATAAACAGACCAGAAAACTTAATACCATAGCTTCTCTAGTAGGTAGGGCATAAATTATTATTTCAATGGAAATCAAATTTCAGCCTGATACGTTTAAGATTATTAATTTCAGCAATTAATTTGTTCCTTGCAAAATTATTAATTGCTCTTTTGCAAACCGTACTTTCTATGAATTTTGTCTAAATAATTTTTTTTAATTTTTGTTGTGGTTGTTTTTGATATTTCAGGTGTTGTTTAAGTTAGTCCATTTCTATAGAATCAGACAAATTCTGCTATAATTCTTATTGGTATGGTTAAAATGTTGTAACGCTGTTATATATTTGCATTATTTATTGAGAATAAATTTAATGTCTGAAGAAATTGATCCATAATAAACCATGACCAATGATTAGAAATATTTATACCAGCAGGTCTCTTAAGTGCTGCAAATTTTGTAATAATCAGAACAATAACAGCCTGTGAAATAAAAACAGAAGCCAAACAGATTCCTTGACAGTTCAGCATTAATGTACCTTGTATCAGACTTATTTGAAGCTGGAATGGCCATCTTAGCTTTGATGTATTCACAGTCCAGCATTTGGTTAGCTCTGTATCTTGAATCAGGATTACACAATAGATTATACAACAAGGAAGATATCTGGGGATCCTAAAAAGTAAACAATCCTTATATAATGTTAACACAAGAAAAACTATAAATTTGATAGAAATAATTTTGGATCAATCAAGTTTGCATTGAGGCTTTTTGCTTCACTCAAACACTGATAATGCTAAAGCAATAGATAATTCAACTAGAGGTACTGTTCGCAAAGGTCACAAAATGATACCCTCAACCCTTGTATTCATCTTTATATACAAAGTAATAACCTTGACTTAGCAGACAGACATTCCTTTGAGGCAAGTTCTGGGTCGGACATGACATCCCATATTTGAATATGGGTATTCAAAGTTGAACTTGCTATCATTCTAACCTTATTTATCATACACCCACCCTCTGGTGGTTGGCAACAATAATAACAATTATCATTTTAATAATCAAGGCATTTAAAAGTTCTGAGTTTGACATGACTTGCACAGACAGACAAGTTATCCCCTCTGCTCTGGTGCCAATTTTTATTGAGAAAAAATTGTTAATGTATGCTTATTTGATTTCATGATTTTACAAATTCAATACATCATAATGAACTCACTGCTAAATTTTGTTAAGTTCTGAGTAGATAAGTTTTTCTACATATTTCAATAGTTGACTTAGTCCACTAAAATGCATTAATGTTCTATTTGTAAACTGATTAAACATTTCCATGAATACAAAATCCCAATCATTTGAATGTTTATCTGTAAATAAATACAAACCATTTGTAGATCATTCAGTCTGGGGTATCCATCTGCCTTAAATGGAATATTGATTGATGGGAAATAAAGCTGAAATAAAGCAATTTCTAAAATATTATCAATATATATGAATTACTATAGAAATCTTTTTTATTTAACATATTTATGTATCTAATATTTGGTACAAACTTTTTTGTGTAAGAATTAACAGGTAAAAAGGTGAAAGTTCAAACACAAAATGTACCACTACAATTTACATAAAAAAAATAAATGGAGAATGTGTCTATGGGCCACAGATGCCCCCACTTGTAAATATGCACGAGTCAACTTCCACATACAGATGCAGGATTCACATATTTAAGACCGTTTTGTGATTGTAAGCATTGTGTATAAGTTAGATAAACATTTGATTGAGGCAAACTAAAGTTAGAGGAAGGAAACGACAGATTTAGCAACTTTTCCATTTATAAAGGGGCATAACTCATGAACGGTAAAAGTGACGCCACCAAATTTCGAACTTGATCTGTGTTTTGTAGTAATAAGCACTGTGTATAAGTTTTATAACATTTGGTTGAGGCAAACTAAAGTTAAATAACAGAAACTAATTTTTGGGATGGATGGGACGGACAGACAAGGGTAACACTTACGCTATTAGCTATTAAGCTATTAAGCTTTTAAGTAATTAGTTTAAGCCGCCACGACAGGAACACTAATCTTAAGTCTCGCTTTCTGTTTACATGGTAAACTCATACCAAGAACATTGGAAAATAATGTCAAGTTAGACATACCCATAATATAACTAATCCTAGACAATACATGTCAGTTGATTTGGTTCCTGCACTCCTTCCACAAGCAACTTCAGGACATCTAAAACACAGACCATTTTCTGCTAAAAAGGCTTTCTTTAACCTGTCCTCCTGAAGATATAAAAAAAGATTATATTAACAATGTAAAACCATTTAAAAACAAACAAAAATCTAGAAAGTTTCACAGAATTATGTTATGGGGTTCAGGAGCAGTTGCAGAGACTTATGAACGAACAGACAGACAGATGGACTCACCATAACTATATGCTATCCACTTTAGAAAGCAGGGGTATAATAATAAAAGAACAGAGTTCCAAAGTCCACTGTGTTGCACATATTTTATATTTCAAAGGGGCATAACTCTTTTAAAAAAAGTTGATCGTCCACCATTATCGAACTTGTCAGAAATATTGCTGATATTAACCTATAGTATAATTTTTGTAAAAATCTGGCAAGAATTGTACCCGCGAGAGCGCTAATGAGGCCATTTTCCACAAATTTAATATTTCCAAGGGGAATAACTCTTTAAAAAAAAAGTTGATCGTCCACCATTATCAAACTTGTCCGAGATATTGCTGATTTTAACCTATAGTATAAGTTTTATAAAAATCTGGCAAGGATTGTATCTGTGAGAGCGCTAACGAGGCCATTTTCCACAAATTTAATATTTCCAAGGGGCATAACTCTTTAAAAAAAAAAGTTGATCGTCCACCATTATCGAAATTGTACAAGATATTGCTGATTTTAACCTATAGTATAAGTTTAATAAAAATTCGTATGGGTTCCGCGGAACACAGTGTCTCGCCTACTTTTGCTGTTAATCGCAGGCTCAACAAAAATGAGGAAAAAAATTAATAAAAATTCGTAATTTTTAAAAACTTAAAGTGCAGACTGTATGTAATGTTAACTGGAAGAAAAACTAAGTCCATTTACAAGTAAAATACGGAAAAAATGGAATTTATTTTTTACTTTTTTACAAAATTTACTTCTGGATACTATCTTTTGATCATAAACAAGGTTCTTTCCAAGTTTGGTAGAAATCCAGGATAGTTTAAGAAAGTTATTAAAATTTCAAAAACTTTAACCACAGAGTGAATGTAATGTTTCATGGCAGAAAAACTAAGTCCATTTATAAGTAAAATACAGAAAAAATGGAATTTTTTTTTTACAAAATTTACTTCTGGATACTATCTTTTGATCATAAACAAGCTTCTTTCCAAGTTTGGTAGAAATCCAGGATAGTTTAAGAAAGTTATTAAAATTTCAAAAACTTTAACCACTGAGTGAATGTAATGTTTCTTGGCAGAAAAACTAAGTCCATTTATAAGTAAAATACGGAAAAAATGGAATTTTTTTTTTTACAAAATTTACTTTTGAATATTATCTTATGATCATAAACAAGCTTCTGTCCAAGTTTGGTAGAAATCCAGGATAGTTTAAGAAAGTTATTAAAATTTCAAAAACTTTAACCACAGAGTGAATGTTATGTTTCTTGGCAGAAAAACTAAGTCCATTTATAAGTAAAATACGGAAAAATTGGAATTTTTTTTTTACAAAATTTACTTTTGAATATTATCTCATGATTATAAACAAGCTTCTGTCCAAGTTTGGTAGAAATCCAGGATAGTTTAAGAAAGTTATTAAAATTTCAAAAACTTTAGAGTGAATATTTGTGGACGCCGCCGACGACGACGACGCCGACGGAATGTAGGATCGCTATGTCTCGCTTTTTCGACAAAAGTCGAAGGCTCGACAAAAATCTGGCAAGAATTTTATCTGTGAAAGCGCTAACGAGACCATTTTCCATAAATTTAATATTTCCAAGGGGCATAACTCTTTTACAAAAAGTCGATCGGCCACCAGTATAGAACTTGTCTGAGATATTGCTGATATTAACCTATAGTATAAGTTTTATAAAAATCTGGCAAGAATTGTACCTGTGAGAGCGCTAACAAGACCGGACAGATGCCTGGTATTTCCATGTTCCCCGCAACGCGTTACGCAGGGGACAATAAATTTATTGATAAGTTTCTTATGCATTCTTCATTCTAAAAAAATTACACATTTCAGCCTGCTGCAATTTTTGCAATTATAAATACAAAGCAGAATTTTCTTAATTTACAGTACTACAAACATAAATATACAATCATGTCTGATAATTGGAACAGACAAAATACGAACTCAAACTGTTCTACTTACCAAAGATTTTGAGAAATCTGGACATAATAAAACAATATCACCATCAGATGTATAACCAATATTACTAGGATTTATTTCACCATGGATTATGTGTCCTTCATGCAGACACTGGATGGATTTCCCAAGGTTTTCTATGATCTTCTGTCGTAACTGTTAAATAAAAACAGCTTTCATTATCTATGTAAATGAATATTTTGTCAATGTACAATGCATCTTAAATATTCATCAAATGTGGATTTTTTCATCAGTAGTTATTTAGGTTTATGAATAGTTATTCAGAGATACAAGAACTTGAATTTGAACAAGGTGAACCAACACCTGAAGTGGTAATCGTGCAGTTGGGTAATAGTGGGTGGATACCGAAAGGTATTCACAGTTGTCTTTCACTAGATAAGTAAAATAAAACGATAATAAAGACAACAACACCCATCAATTACCGCATGGTAAGAGTTTTATCTGGTCGACATGTTTCGCGAACAAGCGTGGCGTCTTCAGGACAATATTACATATGAAATCAAACAGTGAAGTACAAATTTGTGTTTCCCTGTTTGATTTCATATGTTGCATGCAGTAATTGATGGATGTTGTTGTCTTTATTATCGTTTTAGAGATACAAGAAGTAAAATTGTGTCAGAAATTTTTTGAATCATTATTGTTTAGTTTAGTATTGGTTATAAATTACAATTGTCAAGTTTCAACTAAAATTACATGATTTAAAAAGCTGAGTTTCAATCAGGTCAACAATTTAAAGGAGTTTACAATACCATTTAACATAAAAATGTAGATCTCATTTGACTTTTAAAATTAAATTTGTAATTATTTTCAACAAAACAAACCTGTATGTCTAGTTGAGCTTTGACTATTTCTTGTAGACACATAACCTCTTGGTGTTCTACCTGTACATAGCCTAATCTCTCATTCTGTAAAAATAAAATCATTTTATTAATTTTAAATTCTTTCCACAAAAGTGTAATACTGTAACAAGAAATCAAATCTCTTAAACTAATTTGTTCTCTTTGCTTTTTTTTTTTTTACAAAATCAAGGGCAAACCACTCAAACTGTGACCTTCTGTAAAGAAAAAGTTTGAAAAGCAATAGATGCGAAAACGCATTGTACATACTGCATACTTGTATGAATTTTGATACCTAATTTCAGGGTACTCGTTCCGGAGAAAAATGTAGCACAAATTTCATACATGGTCATTATGTTTAAATTATATAGGCATTTGGTAAACAGGAAGTTGATGAGGGATGAATGTGAAAACACATTACCAGGAATAGCATATTTACATGAAGCCAGATAACAAATTTCTGGAAGCTTTAGTTTGTTGTCCACAAGAAAAATGTGACGTAAATTTTATGCAAGGTCATTATGTGTAAGAATATAAATGTATTGAGTAAACAGGAAGTTCAAGAGCGATGGTTTGCATATGCTTTACACAGTTTAGAATGCTCACATGAAGCTTGATTCAAAATCTCAGAAAGTCATGATTTGTAGTTCTGGAGAAAAATGTAACGAAATTTCAATTAAAATGTTGACACCTGAGCTCTTGATAAACACTATTCAAAATATATGTAGCTTGACAAAGAATATACTCTGTACTTGTGGTATCTGAGGACAATTACATGTTAGGTATAAATATATGTACCTTGACAAAGAATATACACTGTACTTGTGGTAGCTGAGGACAATTACATGTACATGTTAGGCATAAATATATGTACCTTGACAAAGAATATACACTGTACTTGTGGTAGCTGAGGACAATAACATGTTAGGTATAAATATATGTACCTTGACAAAGAATATACACTGTACTTGTGGTAGCTGAGGACAATTACATGTTAGGTATAAATATACATGTATGTACCTTGACAAAGAATATACACTGTACTTGTGGTAGCTGAGGACAATTACATGTTAGGTATAAATATATGTACCTTGACAAAGAATATACACTGTACTTGTGGTAGCTGAGGACAATTACATGTTAGGTATAAATATACATGTATGTACCTTGACGAAGAATATACACTGTACTTGTGGTAGCTGAGGACAATTACATGTTAGGTATAAATATATGTACCTTGACAAAGAATATACACTGTACTTGTGGTAGCTGAGGACAATTACATGTTAGGTATAAATATATGTACCTTGACAAAGAATATACACTGTACTTGTGGTAGCTGAGGACAATAACATGTTAGGTATAAATATATGTACCTTGACAAAGAATATACACTGTACTTGTGGTAGCTGAGGACAATTACATGTTAGTTATAAATATATGTACCTTGACAAAGAATATACACTGTACTTGTGGTAGCTGGGGACAGTTACATGTTACTTCCTTATATCGACTGACATTCTTTATAAATAATTCCTTGTCTAGATGATCTGCATCACCAACCATGTACTCCTGTAAAGTATAATAAATGTTAAGTACTGTATAGTCCTACCACAACATGTTGACACAGAAATGGTGAACAAATGTGTATCCAATGCAATTGTTGACAAAGTATTGTCCTGAACACTGTAATGTGTTTGCCAGGGTTATGTGCTGGGCTCAGTATTTCTCCTTACCATTTAAAAGTGCAATTTCCAGTACCCACTTATAAACTGAAAAACACCTATTACTTAATAACCTAACAAAGATATTTCAAAATTTTCCACAATTGAAGAAATAAATGTTGAAAATAAGAGAACTCAATAAACATTAATATTTTTGTAATGAATATTTCCATTTCAATATTTATTCAGCCATGAAATGAGATAAAATTAAGTAGAATTGACCAATAATTGTAAACCAATTTATTTCCACGTAAAGCCTTTTTAAGACAACTTCACAGAAAGTTTGACATATTCGTGGCAACAAAAGACCAGTACAAATTAAGTAAATCAATCCCATAAATTAATTGGTTTACAATACATAAATTTTTGAAGGTTTGCCCCAAATTTGCTTGGAAATGATACTGAGCACAACACTGCCTAAAAGATGTTTACACAGAAAGTGTATTTTGTCATTATCTACTTGCCTAAAAAAAGGTAGCTTGTCCTTTATTAATTTAGCCATTTAAGGGCATTTGCCTATTGATAGCTAAAACCTGGCATACCACTCTAACTACATGTTTATCACAGTATGAAAATTGTCAGCAAGCCATAGCTAATGGTTTAATTTTCTGAAAAGCCTTTATTCAAATATTTATATGTATAACATCAAAACAGGTATCACAAATATTCTTCATCTTTAAATTTGCAGGTTCAAATAAGCCTAACATTATACCTTTATCTTTTTCATGTACATGCCTTTCAATCCTGAAAAATCTCAATCCAAACAAAATCTACTAGTATCTAAAGACTGTATAACACTGACATAAGCATGCTTTATCATTTCAGTTTGACATTAACAACATATCATCTTTAGATTGTAGTTTGTTTTCAAACTACTTTTTGTCATACCTGTAAATAGACTGGATTTCCTGCAAATTGTGAAGAATACATGCCCTCTTTCCACGTGTTTGACAATGTATAATATTCTAATTCTCTCCCAGCAGTTACTAAACCATCATAAACCTGAATCAAAAGAATGGTACAGAGTCATGGTCATTAAATTCAATTTTGAAGAGTCTTAATTGGAGCTCAGATATCTTAAATTTACATTTTGTTAAATTTTGTAACGATACATCTTCTACAATAAGCTGCATTATCAATTCATTTTTTTCATAGGGTTGTGAAAATTCCTGATAAAAGATTTTACCAAAATTATTGATCCCACTGATTTTTAGTTTGTTAGATGAACAATTGCAGTTTGTTTGACCAAATGTCTGGCCGACCTCTGATGAATTTCTGGATTAAAATAGGAAGATGAGCATCCCGTTCATTTAATATTCAATATATCACTTCATTAAATGAGAATCTTCACAATATTATACTATTTCTTCCATTATAAAATATATTTAACCATGAATGCATCTCTTCAAAGACCAGATGTCCTTGACACAAATGCTTCAGTCAGAAGCAAAATATAAGTAAACAAGGGACATAATTATATCAAAAAGACATAAAAACATACCAGTAATGACTTAATTCCTAAATCTTCAAACTGACTTATTAGTTCAGGAAAATGGTTTGTTGTAGCTTTAGCTAAATCAAGCTGAAAAATAATAGGAATTTAGTTTACATGTATAATTTATAGATGAAGGCTAGTTAATATGGTGTGGTTGTCATTTAATTCCAGAGAGAACACTGCGCCACTACATTATTTTCCTTTGTTATCCCAAACATTCTACTATGTAAGATGTTCTGATTTCTTTAAAATAGATTTTCTTCATAACATACTAACAAATTATTTTTTTTAGTACTTTGGTGTTATTCAAAAGGGTGTTTTGTTCATAACTCAACATTTTAATAAACTATAAAATACCAACCAAAAATTTCTCTTGAGAAAGCAATGCTTTGTGTAGATCAGATTTTAAAGACTGGATTTCTGATTTGACTTCTGTCAGTTCCTCTTCTCCAGAGTCACCTGCCTGTTAAGAAGTATACATTTTCATCAAATTATATTCACAGTTATAAAATTTAAGTTAACATTTTTTCAAACACAAGAAATTACCAAATAAAGATGCCTCTTAAAAAGAAGTGATGACATTATAGTTCTTGTATAAAACATATGAAATGTAACATAACGTTACTGATAGGCTTTAATGTCATTTGGAACAATTGACTTTCATCTAATTTTAGACAAATCAATAATGACTTGTATGCATTTTGTTCTCATTTTAAGGTAAAGTGCATATCTTTTTTATTAACATTGTCTTCTTAAGTCTTCAATCTTGAGACTTGAGCATTACTTAGTAAGAGCTTCAATTAAGAGATTTAGTTGACAAGTCAATACTAAAATTACATCCATTACATTACTGTAAAGTTCAAGTCCATATATCAAATCATACAGAAGATGAGAAAAATATAACAAGGATGGACTGACAGACTAACGATCAGATGGACAAGGTCATTGCAGTTACCTCCTATGTGTGAGAATAAATATACTGTGGATTCATTCTCCTATGTGAGGATAGGTATACTGTGGATTCATTCTCCTATGTGAGGATAGGTATACTGTGGATTCATTCTCCTATGTGAGAATAGGTATACTGTGGATTCATTCTCCTATGTGAGGATAGGTATACTGTGGATTCATTCTCCTATGTGAGAATAGATATACTGTGGATTCATTCTCCTATGTGAGAATAGGTATACTGTGGATTCATTCTCCTATGTGAGAATAGGTATACTGTGGATTCATTACTATTTGTGGGATACCAATTATCGTGGATATAGATGATCCACGAATTAAAATGCTCTAATGAAGTGCCTAATAAATAGGGATTTATGCAGACTTTGGCAAAACCACGAAATCAAATATCAACTAAAACATTTGTTTTTCAATCCACGAAAATGGGTACCTACGAAAAGTAATGAATCTGCATTAACATAATCATTTTATTAATACTTGTAACAAAACATGCCTCTTCTAGGTCCTGCCTATCAGCATCTTTGTGCCTCAATTTGGATTTCAGTCCTCGTATTGTTTTCTTTATTTGACTGAGCTCCTCTGTGTTTGGGTTTACTGTTAACCATGGCTCAATGCCTTCCTTATACCCTGTGAATTCTCCAATTAACTTTTTAAAATGTTTGATATTTTTCATTTCATTTGACAGTTCCTTTACAATGGCTTTTATCACTGCAGCAATTAAAGATGCATCACCAGTCTGTTCCTAAAGATAAAAAAACCAAACACTTGTAAACAAAGATATCACATCGTTAAGTGGAGTCCATACAGATTGAAGAATCACAATGTAAAGTGAGAAAATGTAAATTTTCTCCACTTTTTACATGCATTCTATAAATTTGTAGACCTTATAACCTTGACTGTATCTATGGAAGTATAAAAGCTATAGCTATATATATTAGGTTTTTTATGTCCAGATGCAGTCTAAAGAGTTCTAAATGCATACAAAATTTCACTGAATCTTAAATGTCACCCAATTAAGTATAATTTGTCTGAATCAAACATTTCTTTGCTGTGTCAATAGTAATTTTAACTAAAAGGTAACCTTATTTTTATCAACAATATGTTGAATTCTGATTGATTGGTAAATGGCTGTTTAACATCAGACAGGAAATATTGCATGCATATTCAGGGTGAGATAATGTATATTAGATATGAATATATCCTGCTCTGTGACTGGCCAAACACTTTGAGTTGGATCAAGGGTCCGGAAACGGTCATATTTGCCAGTCATGTCCTAAGATGAAACTATTTGTCCTAAACGAGTAATTGGGATTTAGGACAAATTTTATTTTTTTACAGAAGTAATTTCGGTCATTTCATTGACTCAATGTTTGAAATCGGATTTCTTAATAGCCATTTTGCACTTGTGATCACTTGTTTTTGTTTATAATCCCTTTCCTGTAATAAAACTGCCACTACAGTAGTTTGATAATCCTGAGGGCCCTCCTAATATCTATATCAATGCCTCCGGGAAACCTTGGCTAATGATCGCTAATCACTTTTTACCTGTGGTTTTAATTCACACCTGACAGTGATCACAAGCTCAGAATAATATCTTTAAAACATTTAAGTTCCCTGACAAGTGTATTCATTATTTATTTACTTTTCATTAAAGACAGTCATCAATTCTGATTTAAAAATTAAATCTAAATTAACGTAGAAAAAAGTATTTTTTCATGAGTAACACATGTGCTTTATTTACTATGTAATACGCATGCGTGAAATTGTCTTCAGCAAATTTAATATTTAATCATAAAATGCAAATTGATTTCATGCTAAATTAAACGAGTGCAACTATTATCTGTTATATTCAAACACTTTTAAAGGTAATAAAAAAAAAAGCCATAAAAAGCCGGTGCTTTCCTGTTAGTTTGATAAACAAAACAAATCCCGGAAATGAATCCGGAATTATTCGTACTTTAAATTATCGCCAACTTCCGGTTTTAACTTTTGTCAAATCGAAAGAAACGTAAGCAATGTCTGAGAAATTAACCATTTTGAGTCATTAAAATCATTTCAATTTTAGACTGTTGCCTTCCCTAAACTGTCCTTCATGGTAATGGTAAGATATTTACTTAGTAAATGCGATGAAACAGCAATACAAGTTCGTTATGTTCGTTGATGCTATGAATATAGTCCAGTTGATATCGACAATTTGAAAAGGGGCACCAACTTTTCAAACATCTCAAAATGACCGAAATTGTCTGGAAAAATTTCCGGATCCTTGAGTTGGATATAACATGCTGGCTCACAATACAAGTCCACAGGAAAACATGTAAATCTACAAGATACATTGTGCTGACTCCAAGTCATAAAGTTTTTGCTTTCATTCCTAAATGCCCACTTGGTAAAAAGTAACCCACATGTTATAAGCGTTATATGTTCTATGTATGCCTGTCCCAATGTATTTGAGTGGTTGTCACTTGTTGTTGTTTATCATATTTGTTTTTAGTTTATTGTTTTGTAGTTTGTTCTGGTGTTGTGCTGTTGTACCACTGCCCTAGGTTGGGGAGGGTTGGGTGCCTGCTAACATGTTTAACCCTGCCACATTCTATATGTGCCTGTCCCAAGTCGTGAGCCTGTAATTCAGTGGTTGTCGTTTGTTGTATATCATATTTGTTTTTTGTTTATTGTTTTGTACATAAATCAGGTCTTTTAAATTCTGACAATTGTTCACATGTATATAATCAAAGTGCTTGTAAGCACTGAAGGGTAAAGATTGCTTTATTTTTTCAGTGGGAAGTAACTGCATTGTAAAAACATTGGCTGTAGTTGATTCAACTACAATTATATATGAACAAAGGAAGATAACTCCAATTTTACAGATTACTTTAACAATGACATCATTGATATTTTTAGCACAGATATTAGATTACTGCACCTTGCACAAGTTATGTAATTTTCTTGACAAGTATAACATCATTTTGTAACTTGAATATCTGAGCATATATTTCATTGATAAATTTCTGGAAATGTCCATGGATAGGATGTTTAGAATGTTATGATCAATGCACTATATTTTGTGCATTTCAAAAGTAGTGATAAACCTTGGAAGATTTAGAAATCAAGTCAGTACCATAGAGTTTTGATTGCATTTCATGCAATCTTTACCCAAAAATGAAATACCTACCAAATCAGTACATAAAATTTCTTGCTGTAATAACTGAGCATATCTGTTTAACATTTCATCCCAGGGCATTGTCAGGGATTCTCCTCCAGAATCTAACTTCATCATCTAAAACACAAAAAAGCTCAAATGAAAAAGTTACTTTTCATCATTTCTAATATTATCTACATAACTCTTGTGTGTATTTGTATTAATCATAGTTAACGAAGAAGAAAAATAAATCAAAATATTGCAGTAAATGATAAAAGAATCGATTGAAGAGAAAGAAGTCCAATAACTAGAAAACTGACTTGTCACCAAGGGACCCAACTTGTGGATTTTTTTTTTTGGCACAGAAACAATCAGTTAATACTAATTAAAATAAATGGAGAATGTGTCCATGGGACACAGATGATACCTTGCTTGCATATAACATTATAGGGGCATAACTCAAGAACAGTAAAAGTGACGCCACCAAAAATTTGAACTTGATCTGTGTTTTGTGGTAAAAAGCATTGTGTATAAGTTTCATAATATTTGGTTGAGGCAAACGAAAGTTCGAGAATGGAAACCAAATTCGGGACATACATACATACGGATGGCTGGAGTACGGACGGACAAGAGTAACACTTAATGCCCCCTCCAGTGGCAGTGAATGCATAAAAGCAATACTTGCTCATAGTGTATCAATTTTTAAAAGTTTTAACACCAGGAATTAATTCAGGATAAGTTCCAGGTAGATATAAAGTTTTGTTAAAATCCAAGGTACTTTGGTGGCAGTATCGAAAAATGAAAGTGGGTGGATAGTTATTGCAGGAACATATATATTAATGGGACTCGACACTACCTAATTGTAGCCAATTTTATCGTCGTGTCATAGGTAATAAAGATACGATACTGAAACAGACATGTGTTAAAAACGTACTCGCTATTATCCTAATAATTTCCGATAATATCAATAAAATGTCATTCAAACTAGTTTTACAGTGATGCCATTATATCAAACTTGTATTCTGTCACTTCAAATTTGTTATAATCGCATTCATTTTATCACAGAATGGTACAGAATGCAAACAGGGTAATAAAAAAATGGTGCTGATTGCATTCCCAAATTCAAAAACATTATAAAACAATTCATCAAATAAATCACACTTATTTTGGTCATTTTATATGACAATATATATCTACTTTATGATGAAACTTGTATTTATTTACGATTAGAATTATGTGGTTACTTTATTGAGCAGTTCCGATAAATTTTCAGTCAGACGCCACCAAAATCCATAAATCTCGCGACGTCTTGAGGAGTACGAGATTTTATCAATTTTATACTGAAAACCCTATCAGATTCATTTCCTGTTAGATATACTGTTCCCAGGTTTTAGACACAGGGAATCTATTTGGAATAGCAAATTATACCTATACATAACTTAAATAAGAAATCATAGCACACAAAGATGCTCCTCAAAATATGTAAATTTTTTAACAATAAACTGGTGACTGAGAGACATGAATCGCCAGTATGTAATTTTGATAGTAAAATGAAAATGTTGAAATTAAAATGGCAACACATTTCAACATATAAACTATGCAAAACTTTCAAAGTCAATGAACCATGAATACATCTGCAGAGCCAAATAATCTGTGGAAATAAGATATGCCAATGTTAATACAACTGCATACCTAATATCATTGACTTTCCATTAGTGGTTGGTTCCCCTTAAACTGACCTAATAACAAACTGTAATAATATGCTCCGATGGGCGCAACTTGATACGACTGCATAGGTCAAACCCTGAACAGTTGGGGCAAGTATGGACACAACATTCAAGCTTGATACAGCACTGAATTTGGATTGTGATTAAATATTTGACACAGCATAGGTTTCTGACACAGAATGAATGTGGTCTAAGAACTTAAAAATTTTAATTTACCTATTTAAACCATATCATTATTATTTGCTTTTATATATAAATCAGAAATAACCAATTTAAAATGGAAAATTTTAAAGAAAAAAAAAAGGGAAAAAAGGACAAACCCCCCCCCCCCCCCCCCCCCTCCCCAATTTTTTGAACCCCCTTATGATTCATCACTCCCAAACTCAATCCCAGCCTTCCCTTTGTAGTATGGAACCTTGCAGTACAATTTCAGAGAGATCCATACACTTGAACACAAGTTATTGTCTGGAAACTAGAAAAATGCTTATTTTTGGCCCCTTATTTCTAAACGTTTTGGGCAATTACCCCCAAACTCAATTCCAGCTTTTCCTTTGTGATATGGAACCTTGTAGTACAATTTCAGAAAGATCCATACACTTACACACAAGTTATTGTCATGAAACTAGAAAAATGCTTGTTTTTTGCCCCTTTTTTGCCCCTAATTCCTAAAATTTTGAGGCAATTACCCCCAAAATCAATCCCAGCATTCCCTTTTTGATATGGACTTTGTGATATGGAACCTTGTGGTACAATGTCAGAGAGATCCATACACTAACACACAAGTTATGTCTGGAAGTTACAAAAATGCTTATTTTTGGCCCCTAATTCCTTAACTGTTGGTACCATAACCCCCAAAATCAATCCCAATCTTCCTTTTATGGTATTGAACCTTATGGTAAAATTTCATAGAGATGCATTCACTTAAACTAAAGTTAGAGTGCGAAAACCAATGTGTCTTCGGATGACGACGACGCCAACGTCAACGTCATACCAATATACGACCGCAAAAAAAATTGTTAAAAACAAAGAAAAAAGACAAAGACTTTTTACTTTTGATAAGTTAAGAATGTTCTGTTCCACTGTGTTTTCAAATGAAGATGTTAAACTTCTTATATTTCTACATTCAGCTTCTCTTTTCACCTGCAATTAAAACAACCATTATAATGACTGCACAACTTTACTTCATTGATGAAGGAAAAATTTAAAAACATGAAATAGATTTAATATACTAAAGTATATGTGACAGAGAGAGAAATATAACATTTTTTCAAGAAAGACATCATGTTTAACTTGATATCATTGAGATGGGAGCCATCTCTGTGGGCCCCGCTGTGAATAATGTGTGGTAAAAAATTTGTATCTTTATCATTGGACATGGGGTTGTCAACTAAATTTTGAAATCATAACGGTTCTCAAGATATAGAGCGGACACGATCTTTACCATAGGACATGGGGTTGTCAACTAAAACCAAAGTTTTTGACCTTGACCTTTGACCTAGGAAGTTGTACATACATTATGACACACCCTCTGGTGTTGGTTAATATACATGTCAAGTATAAACTTTGAAATCATAACAGTTCTCTAGATATAGAGCAGACACAATTTGTTACGGACGGACAGACTGATCACTATAGGGCATTCGCCATTCGGCAGGGCCCTAATAAGCATTTTACATTGCAGTTGACATTTTATTCTATACCTGTTCATATTCAAAGTTAAACAAAATAAACAAGAAATATTATAAAGTTGTTTATTTTCACAGAATTTCTAAGGCTCAACTCAAGACTTTCTCTGTGTTTATATTCCTTAAATCAGATTTTGAATATCAAATTTCACATTGGGACATTTTTCCTCCATTATTTTAATTCCAATATTAGGGTAAACCTCTTGAAAAAATTCCAAACTTAACATTATTACATTCAGAAAATAAATGATCATTAACTTCTTCCAACCATTTCATACTTAATAACATTAACTTAGTATTTTAATATCACCTTCCAATCATTGTAGCCAGGTACTAACTCTTCCAATGATAAGTTGTTATGTACATTGAAAGCAAGGAATGGTCCATAGTTCTGTCTCAGTAGGTTTTCAACTTCCTAAAAAGACACATTTATATCATGTATTAGTTCTGAGATTTCCTTTGAAACTAAATGAAGTTCTGTTACGAACTTATGGCTTAACAATTAGCACCAGTTATAATAACTAACTAGATATCATTGAGATGGGAGCCATCTCTGTGGTCCTTGCTGTGAATAATGTGTGGTAAAAAAATTGTATCTTTATCATTGGACATGGGGTTGTCAACTGAAACCAAAGTTTTTGACCTTGACTTTTGACCTAGGAAGTTGTACATAAATTATGACAAACCCTCTGGTGTTGGTTTATATACATATCAAGTATAAACTTTGAAATCATAACAATTCTCAAGGTATAGAGCGAACACGATCTTTACCATAGGACATGGGGTTGTCAACTAAAACCAGTTTTTGACCTTGACCTTTGACCTAGGAAGTTGTACATACATTATGACACACCCTCTGGTGTTGGTTAATATACATGTCAAGTATAAACTTTGAAATCATAACGGTTCTCTAGATATAGAGCGGACACAATTTGTTACGGACGGACGGAGATTGATCACTATAGGGGCCCTAATTAAAAATAATTCTAATTATTCTGAAATTCTGATGAACAGATGGGAATATAAGCCAATAGAATTGTTTCTTTTTAAAGAGTATTAATAAACGGTTGACACGGAAATATGTCTCTCCTGTATTTAAAATAATTTTGATAGCATATTGCAAATGTTGAAATTGAAGTGCCAATACTTTAACTATGTCCAAGTCAATAAACAGTGACTGAAGCTGCAGGAGCAAATTACCACCACTGAAATAAGAACTGCCTATACTAATACAACAGCATATCAAATACAATTGACTTATCATATGTGGTTCCCCTTAAATAGCATAAACACAAACTTTTACCTGTGAACTATACAAAATTTTCAAAGTCAATAAACTATAATTGAAGGGATGGGGTCATATAATCTCCATAGAAATATTACATGCTAATCCTAATACAACTGCATACCATATATAATTTACTTACCATTAGTGGTTCCCCTTAAAGACTGACCTAATCACAAAGTTTAATAAAATGCTCCGCTGGCCGCAGCTTGATACGACCGCAGAGGTCGAACCCTGAACAGTTGGGGCAAGTATGGACACAACATTCAAGCTTGATACAGCACTGAATTTGGATTGTGATTAAATATTTGACACAGCATAGGTTTCTGACACAGAATGAATGTGGTCTAACAACTTAAAAATTTTTAATTTACCTATTCAAACCATATCATTATTATTTGCTTTTATATATAAATCAGAAATAACCAATTTAAAATGGGAAATTTTAAAGAAAAAAAAAAGGGAAAAAAAAATCCCCTCCCCCCAAATTTTTTGAACCCCCTTATGATTCATCACCCCCAAACTAAATCCCAGCCTTTCCTTTGAGGTATGGTACCTTGCAGTACAATTTCAGAGAGATCCACAGACTACACGAATGAATTTTATTTTTACAGGACATTCGGTCTGGTAAACAACCTAGCTTTACCAGACCCAATTAAATTTTACCAGACCAATTTTTTTTTACATCTAATTGTATATTATCCGACAAAATACAAAAAAACTTATGATTTGTTAACTTGTGCCCGACTCCTCTCCAAAAACACACAAAAACGAAATCATGTGACAAGAGTGTAAAAGTGATGAAAGTTGTGCACAATTGCTTGAATGCATTTCAGTGATAAAGAAAAGTAATGTCATATTTTAATGGATTTAAACTGAAAATTATTTGTGAACTAAAATTATTTAGAGTTTCTGTATAAAATATTTCCTGTTTCTTCTTTCTTTTTCATATATCTTGGTTTTCAATTCTAGTGTTGTATTTTGTGACCTGCTTGGATTTTATAAATTTATTTATTGTATTCGATCGGCAAACCCGGAATATTTGCCTTATCCGTTCCCGGAATCTGATCCGGTATTGTCTACATTTCCGGTTGATGGCAGCCATTGTTGTTTTCGTCAGATATGTTTTTACTTGGATTTTCACATTACTTGTTGGCAATTTTCAACATAAAGCTAGCGGTTGAACAAAATAAACATCGCTGTCATGAATAATAAAGATGAAAATGAATTTTGAGATCGTTTGGCAATTTTGCTAGAATGCTAGAAAAACCATGAAAAAATAAACAACACCGGACATTCGGACCGGAATTCAACAAAATTTTACCAGACCGATCCATTATTCACCGGATTTGTCCGACGGACCGACGCATTTCGTGTAGTCTGGATCCATACACTTGAACACAAGTCATTGTCTGGAAGCTAGAAAAATGCTTGTTTTTTGGCCCAAATTCCTAAACATTAAGGGCAATTACCCCCAAACTCAAACCCAGCTTTCACTTTGTAATATGGAACCTTGTAGTACAATTTCATAAAGATCCACACACTTACACACGTTATTGTCCTGAAACTAGAAAAATGCTTGTTTTTTTGCCCCCTAATTCCTAAAATTTTGAGGCAATTACTCCCAAAATCAACCCCAGGCTTCCCTTTGTGGTATTGTACCTTGCAGTACAATTTCAGAGAGATCCATACACTTGAACACAAGTTATTGTCTGGAAACTAGAAAATGCTTATTTTTGGCCCCTTATTCCTAAACATTTTGGGCAATTACTCCCAAACTCAATTCCAGCTTTCCCTTTGTGATATGGAACCTTGTAGTACAATTTTATAAAGATCCATACACTTACACACAAGTTATTGTCATGAAACTAGAAAAATGCTTGTTTTTGGCCCCTAATTCCTAAAATTTTGAGGCAATTACCCCCAAAATCAATCCTAGCATTCCCTTTGTGATATGGAACCTTGTGGTACAATGTCAGAGAGATCCATACACTAACACACAAGTTATGTCTGGAAGTTACAAAAATGCTTATTTCTGGCCCCTTTGTGGCCCCTAATTCCTTAAATGTTGGTACCATAACCCCCAAAATCAATCCCAACCTTCCTTTTGTGGTATTGAACCTTATGGTAAAATTTCATAGAATTCCATTCACTTAAACTAAAGTTAGAGTGTGAAAACCAATGTGTCTTCGGACGATGACGACGACGATGCCAACGTCATACCAATATACGACCGAAAAAGTAAACTTAGCAAAAGTCTGAAAGTCAATAGACCATGAGTGAAGGAGCAGTGCCAGATAAATAATTCACCAATGATGGAAACAAGCACTAAAGTGTAGCATTTTCAACACCATTGCTATTTTTTTCACTTACAACTGTATTGTAATGATTTCATTCAATATTTATATTACAACCCCACAAATTCAAACCATGCTTTCATAAGGGCAACCCTGTACTGTAATGAATGTCAATTGTGGTAGATATTTGATAGATATTGTCACACTAAATTGACAATAGTCAACAAGCACCAATTAGAACAGCCCCCCCAAAAACATACCTGTAAAGCCTGAGAACGTTCGTCCAAAGGTAATGATTTTAACTGCTGGATACATGCACCAGCTTTCTCATAATATTCTTGTCTTGCACTGTTTCTAGTGGAGATTAAGTTTTCTACTTCAACCTAAAACATAACAAAAGCAGCATAACGTAGTTGTAACAACACCTTGGATACAATACATACAATTTGTAGACATTTAGATATAAATAAATAATGCAAGCTATCTCCTCATCAGATTCAGACATTATCAAGCTGCAGACCAAATATAAATTCTTCACTTGCAAAGAAGCCAAGAAAACTTTGATAAAAGGTTTCTACCCAAGATCTTACAGACAGACAAATGGAATGAGGAACTGAGAGTAGTGGTTACTAGACCTGTTGTGGCTTGGTGACGCTGGTAAAAACAATCTACTGTGGATTCATTTATGTTCGTGGATACCAAATTTAGTGGATTAAGGAAAACTTGAATTTTTGTGGATAGTTGATTTCGTGGTTATTTCAGTCTTCAAACAAAAACAAGTGCATACACTATATGCCAAGTCCTAACCACGCTCATTCTGGACATGTTGTCAAAGATATCAACCTAAAGGAACCTCAAATTCTAACATTAATCAGATCTTTTCAGGTAATAATTAGGTAATGTCTGTTGAAAATGAGTGTACAACCCTTAAAAATGTTAAAACAATAAATCTAGTAACTGTCTCCATTTTTTTGGCATATAAATAAAAAAGCAGAATCTTATTTAAGTCCTTAAAATGTTAAATATATATTACAAGTACTTATAATGTAAATTCCTAACTCCTACACTCTCTTCTTTGATAAATGAGGCAAGTGCTGTTAAGTACCATTTAAAAAAAGACAATTAGTCATTTTTGGATGTTATGATAACATGAAATTCAAAACCATAGGCATGAAACTATTGAGAGTTGACAGTATAATCACCTTATCAGTAAAAACCATAGGCATGAAACTATTGAGAGTTGACAGTATAATCACCTTATCAGTAAAAACCATAGGCATGAAACTATTGAGAGTTGACAGTATAATCACCTTATCAGTAAAAACCATAGGCATGAAACTATTGAGAGTTGGCAGTATAATCACCTTATCAGTAATAAACTGCTTCGCTGAGCGCAGCTGGATACGCCCGCAGAGGTCCAACCCTGAACAGTTGTGGCAAAAATGGACACAATATTCAAACTTGATACAGGTCTGAATTTGGATTGTAATTAAATATTTGACATATTACAGGTTTCTGAATAAATGTAGTCAAAGAACTTGAAATTGGTTATATGAATTGAATTTATATTCAACAAGAAATGAATGTAACAGGATGCTGTTACGAAGTCTCCCAAACGAAGCTCCCATAATTCGTAATTCCCAGGGTCGCCTGACATTGGGCAACTTCCAGTGAAAATTGGTTTGGTCCAGTAAAGTTATATGCATTAGTGATGCCTGGGGACTAACCTTGTATATCATTCAAATCATCTTGGCATGACAAACCAGAATATATATGGTTTAGGGGTGGGGATCTCGACCATTTACAAGATACTAGAACATTGGGGGTGGGGAGGAACCCCTGGGGACTGGCCCTATACGTCATTCAAATGTTCATTACATGACGAACAGGAATATATATGGTTTAGGGGTGGGGATCTCAACCATTTACAAGATACTAGAACATTGGGGGTGGGGAGGAACCCCTGGGGACTGACCGTATACGTCATTCAAATGTTCGAGACATGACAAATAGGAATATATATGGTTTAGGGGTGGGGATCTTGACCACTTACAAGATATTAGAACTTTCTCAAATGGCAGGGGGTGGGGGTGACCCCTGGGGACTAATCCTGTATTTCATTTGATGTGCTTTATCATGACAAACCAGAATATATATGGTTTAGGGGTGGGGATCTCGACCATTTACAAGATATTAGAACTTTCTCAAATGGCAGGGGGTTGGGATGACCCCTGGGGACTAACCCTGTATATCATTCAAACCATCTTAGCATGACAAACCAAAATATATATGGTTTAGGGGTGGGGATCTTGACCACTTAGAAGATATTAGAACTTTCTTAAATGGCAGGGGGTGGGGGTGACCCCTGGGGACTAACCCTGTATTTCATTTGATGTGCTTTGTCATGACAAACCAGAATATATATGGTTTAGGGGTGGGGATCTCGACCATTTACAAGATATTAGAAGTTTCTCAAATGGCAGGGGGTCGGGGTGACCCCTGGGGACTAACCCTGTATATCATTCAAACCATCTTAGCATAACAAACCAAAATATATATGGTTTAGGGGTGGGGATCTTGACCACTTACAAGGTATTAGAACTTTCTTAAATGGCAGGGGGTGGGGATGACCCCTGGGGACTAACCCTGTATTTCATTTAATGGGCTTTATCATTTAGAACATTTTCAATTAAAAAGATTGTGTCTATCACAAACGATTTTCAATTTATAATCATTTGAAAATTTAAAAATATAAAATCCCATAGGGTTCTATAGTAAAACCCTCTTTTCTTTTTGCCCCTCAAAGTACCCCTTTATAAACCCCATTGCACAAACAAAACCCTGATTGCACCACTAGACATGTTAGTCTAACATATAGTGAAACCCTAAGTTAATCTGACAAGCGGTTTTGGAGAACGGGTGCGGACAAGTTCAAATTTAAAAGCGGCGGAAGAAGAAGAAGAAGAAGAAGAATAATAATAATAATAAGAACTGAGCAAAAACAATAAGTCTTCCCAAACTTCGTTTGGGAGACTTAATTAAAGATTTCTTGCTGTTGTGCAATACACTGTGCTGTTGCGCAATACTTAGTAAATCTGTTGTCAGACTATAAACAAATAAAGTTCAATTAATTCTAAATGTCATATTAGAAAATTATGAAAATCAAAAGGAGCTTACATCAATAAATATAAACAATTCACCAAAGTTTCATGGGAATTGCTGACAGCATTTTTGAGTTATTGTCAGAAAACTGGAAAATCCCCCTTTTTTAATGAATAAAACCCCATAACTCAGAAATGTAAAATGTAAAATTTATAAAATTCTAAAGGGAGCTTACATCAATAGATATAAACAATTCACCAAAGTTTCATAAGAACTGCTGAAAGCATTTTTGAGTATTTGTCCGAAAACTGGAAAATCCCCCTTTTTTTTAATAAAACCATGCAACTCTGAAACATAAAATCTAAAATTTATAAAAAAACGAAAGGGAGCTCACGTCAATAGATATAAACAATTCACCAAAGTTTTGTGCAAATTGGTTAAAGCATTTTTGAGTTAATGTCCGACATGTTGACGACGGACGGACAGACGGACGGACGGACAGACGGAGAGAGGTATACCATAATACGTCCGGCGTATAAAAACCATAGGCATGAAACTATTTAGAGTTGGCAGTATAATCACCTTATCAGTAAAAACCATAGGCATGAAACTATTGAGAGTTGACAGTATAATCACCTTATCAGTAAAAACCATAGGCATGAAACTATTGAGAGTTGGCAGTATAATCACCTTATCAGTAAAAACCATAGGCATGAAACTATTGAGAGTTGGCAGTATAATCCCCTTATCAGTAAAAACCCTAGGCATGAAACTATTGAGAGTTGGCAGTATAATCCCCTTATCAGTAAAAACCCTAGGCATGAAACTATTGAGAGTTGGCAGTATAATCCCCTTATCAGTAAAAACCCTAGGCATGAAACTATTGAGAGTTGGCAGTATAATCCCCTTATCAGTATAAACCCTAGGCATGAAACTATTGAGAGTTGGCAGTATAATCCCCTTATCAGTAAAAACCCTAGGCATGAAACTATTGAGAGTTGGCAGTATAATCCCCTTATCAGTAAAAACCCTAGGCATGAAACTATTGAGAGTTGGCAGTATAATCCCCTTATCAGTAAAAACCCTAGTCATGAAACTATTGAGAGTTGGCAGTATAATCCCCTTATCAGTAAAAACCCTAGTCATGAAACTATTGAGAGTTGGCAGTATAATCCCCTTATCAGTAAAAACCCTAGTCATGAAACTATTGAGAGTTGACAGTATAATCCCCTTATCAGTAAAAACCCTAGGCATGAAACTATTGAGAGTTGGCAGTATAATCCCCTTATCAGTAAAAACCCTAGGCATGAAACTATTGAGAGTGGGCAGTATAATCCCCTTATCAGTAAAAACCCTAGGCATGAAACTATTGAGAGTGGGCAGTATAATCCCCTTATCAGTAAAAACCCTAGGCATGAAACTATTGAGAGTGGACAGTATAATCCCCTTATCAGTAAAAACCCTAGGCATGAAACTATTGAGAGTGGACAGTATAATCCCCTTATCAGTAAAAACCCTAGGCATGAAACTATTGAGAGTGGGCAGTATAATCCCCTTATCAGTAAAAACCCTAGGCATGAAACTATTGAGAGTGGGCAGTATAATCCCCTTATCAGTAAAAACCCTAGGCATGAAACTATTGAGAGTGGGCAGTATAATCCCCTTATCAGTAAAAACCCTAGGCATGAAACTATTGAGAGTGGGCAGTATAATCCCCTTATCAGTAAAAACCCTAGGCATGAAACTATTGAGAGTGGGCAGTATAATCCCCTTATCAGTAAAAACCCTAGGCATGAAACTATTGAGAGTGGGCAGTATAATCACCTTATCAGTAAAAACCCTAGGCATGAAACTATTGAGAGTGGACAGTATAATCACCTTATCAGTAAAAACCCTAGGCATGAAACCATTGAGAGTGGACAGTATAATCACCTTATCAGTAAAAACCCTAGGCATGAAACCATTGAGAGTGGACAGTATAATCACCTTATCAGTAAAAACCCTAGGCATGAAAGCATTGAGAGTGGACAGTATAATCACCTTATCAGTAAAAACCCTAGGCATGAAAGCATTGAGAGTGGGCAGTATAATCACCTTATCAGTAAAAACCCTAGGCATGAAACCATTGAGAGTGGGCAGTATAATCACCTTATCAGTAAAAACCCTAGGCATGAAACCATTGAGAGTTGGCAGTATAATCACCTTATCAGTACAAACCATAGGCATGAAACTATTGAGAGTTGACAGTATAATCACCTTATCAGTACAAGATGAGATTTCTTTCTGTATAAGGTTGTAACGTGTTATAGTCGACACTAAAGGTTGTAGAGTGGTCACAGTCTGGTCTATCCTCTCGTCAGATAACACTACACTTATGGCCTCTTCTAATATACTTCTTTGACCTGTAGGGAATTGGCATCTGCATAAACAAGATGACATATCACACATGGCATCTGTAAATAAAGTTGGTATAAACAAGATGACATATCACAAATGGCATCTGTAAATAAAGTTAGCATAAACACGATGACATATCACAAATGGCATCTGTAAATAAAGTTAGCATAAACAAGATGACATATTACACATGGCATCTGTAAATAAAGTTAGCATAAACAAGATGACATATCACAAATGGCATCTGTAAATAAAGTTAGCATTAACAAGATGACATATCACACATGGCATCTGTAAATAAAGTTAGCATAAACAAGATTACATATTACACTTGGCATCTGTAAATAAAGTTAGCATAAACAAGATGACATATCACACATGGCATCTGTAAATAAAGTTAGCATAAACAAGATGACATATCACACATAGCATCTGTAAATAAAGTTAGCATAAACAAGATGACATATTACACATGGCATCTGTAAATAAAGTTAGCAAACAAGATGACATATCACAAATGGCATCTGTAAATAAAGTTAGCATAAACATGATGACATATCACAAATGGCATCTGTAAATAAAGTTAGCATAAACACGATGACATATCACACATGGCATCTGTAAATAAAGTTAGCATAAACACGATGACATATCACAAATGGCATCTGTTACTTTGGATTAATTATTTTCCATGGATTTAGTGGGTCTAGGTGAAGGATTTAGTGGGTCTAGGTGAAGGATTTAGTGGGTATAGGTGAAGGATTTAGTGGGTCTAGGTGAAGGATTTAGTGGGTCTAGGTGAAGGATTTAGTGGGTATAGGTGAAGGATTTAGTGGGTCTAGGTGAAGGATTTAGTGGGTCTAGGTGAAGGATTTAGTGGGTCTAGGTGAAGGATTTAGTGGGTATAGGTGAAGGACGAATTTCAATGTTAGACGAAGAAAAAATCTTTTATAGGTTAGAATGCAGACTTTGACAAAACCACAAAATCAAATAGGCACAAAAATACAATTTTTCCTGAATCCACAAAAATTGGTACCCATGAATATAAACAAATCCACTGTTATATAGAAAGCAAACATAGAATGGCAGGTAACACATTTAACATCCATAAATATGTAAAACAAGAAATATAGTTCAAATCAATAGAGTGCACCTTTTTTGTGCCGATGGGATTCATCGTGACTTTATATGCATTTATAAAAATGTCAAAAGCAGAGAGAGCCAGAGGAGAAAACCAAAATACCAAAGCTCACTATAGACCATCACAGAGTAACTCAGAGACTTAAAAGAAATTGAGTAACTGTTGCAAAAGGCATGATATTCAATCCTTTTTAATTATAACATGGGCATAAGAGAAATATACAGGTACATCTCAAACAGCTTCCACAACCAATTAAATCTATTTAGTCACAAGTCAAAAAGACTTGAGCAGAGGCTCTATTTGATAAAGAGCTGTTTTGTGACATTTTAAAAATTTCCATTCAGGTAATATTAATATAAGAGTAAATTATAGATCAAAATGTTTTTTTTTTTTTTACTTTTATAGCAAACTTACCTTAGGTGTCTAACTTGTTCACACATATTAGTCACTTGTTGTAACTAAAATAAAATGACAAATATATTTATGATGATGATGCATTGTTGTATAACATCCTGTGGTAAATATTACATGAATACCAGGACTTAATTTACAAGCTGGTATCACATGCTTTCTAAATTTGCAAGGAATGACACAAATTTTTAAAACATATTCTTTATGTTGATCTTTGAAATACTATTGTTAACATATCTTTAATTCTTTAATATATTTTAAAAGTATGGAGATATAAGCTGTGTTTGTTATTTTGTTATACATGTATATATCAAGAAACAAGAACAGGTGCATCTCTGTTCACCAATAAATGATTTCCCCTCTATAATCTGAAAAAAATAGTGCACTTTATAAGCCTCAAATTTGAATTTTACATTTGATAACTTCATAGAAGTGATCAATTTATATCTTCTCCTCCCAGAAATTATCCCTTTATATTTTTCTTTGTACATCAATGAATGATTTCAGTAAAAATAATCTACTTAAAATAATAGACATTAGAAACTCATTTGTTGAAAGTTAAGTAGGGGAACTTTTATTTTGTCAATTTAATTTTTAATGGAAATACATTCCAGTATCTTTCAGGAAAATGCATATAAATTGTAGCAACTATCTACAAAACTGAAGTTTCTAGGAATTAATTAACCAATGAACAAAAAAACTTCAAAGACCATAAAAATATGTGCCCAAAAATAAACCTACTTTGATTTAAAAGTAAATAAAATGCTCCACAGGGCGCAGCTTGATACGACCGCAGAGGTCGAACCCTGAACAGTTGGGGCAAGTATGGACACAACATTCAAGCTTGATACAGCACTGAATTTGGATTGTGATTAAATATTTGACACAGCATAGGTTTCTGACACAGAATGAATGTGGTCTAAGAACTTAAAAATTTTAAATTGGACATTCACCTATTATGGTCCAATATCCAAAATCTAAATACATGGTTAGATTCAGCATATCAAAGAACCCCAAGAATTCAATTTTTGATGAAATCAAACAAAGTTTAATTTTGGACCCCGATTTGGACCAACTTGAAAACTGGGCCCATAATCAAAAATCTAAATACATGTTTAGATTCAGCATATCAAAGAACCCTAAAAATTCAATTTTTGTTAAAATCAAACTAAGTTTAATTTTGGACCCTTTGGACCTTAATGTAGACCAATTTGAAAACAGAACCAAAAATTAAGAATCTAAATACACGGTTAGATTCGGCATATCAAACAACCCCAATAATTCAATTTTTGATGAAATCAAACAAAGTTAAATTTTGGACCCTTTAGACCTCAATGTAGACCAATTAAAAAACGGGTCCCAAAATCCAAAAACTTAATACACAGTTGGATTCAGCATATTAAAGAATCCCAAGAATTCAAGAATAAAACCCCATTGAAATTGATCAAGAAATAAGCAATTTATACGAAGTATCTTCTTTTGCACAATACTGTGCAATTGAATATTTCTTGCTATTGCGCAATACTGTACAATTGACAATTTCTTGCTATTGAGCAATATTGTGCTATTGGATATTTCTTGCTATTGCGCAATACTGTGCAATTGAAGATTTCTTGCTATTGCGCAATACTGTGCAATTGAAGATTTCTTGCTATTGTGCAATACTGTGCTATTGAAAATTTCTTGCTATTGCACAATACTTATTATATAATAATTTACATATCCTGTTTGGTGTGTATCTCCTACCATATCATTATTATTTGCTTTTAAATATAAATCAGAAATAACCAACTTAAAATGGAAAATTTTAAAAGAAAAAAAAAAGGAAAAAAAGAAAACAAAAAAAATCCCCCCCCCCCCCCCCAAATTTTTTGAACCCCCTTATGATTCATCACCCCCAAACTCAATCCCAGCCTTCCCTTTGTGGTATGGTACCTTGCAGTACAATTTCAGAGAAATCCATACACTTGAACACAAGTTATTGTCTGGAAACTAGAAAAATGCTTATTTTTGGCCCCTTTTTGGCCCCCAATTCCTAAACGTTTCGGGCAATTACCCCCAAACTCAATTCCAGCTTTCCCTTTGTGATATGGAACCTTGTAGTACAATTTCAGAAATATCCAAACACTTACACACAAGTTATTGTCATGAAACTAGAAAAATGCTTGTTTTTTGCCCCTTTTTTGGCCCCTTATTCCTAAAATTTTGAGGCAATTACCCCCAAAATCAATAACAGCCTTCCCTTTGTGATATGGAACCTTGTGGTACAATGTAAGAGAGATCCATACACTTACACACAAGTTATTGTCTGGAAGTTACAAAAATGCTTATTTTTGGCCCCTTTTTGGCCCCTAATTCCTTAACTGTTGGTACCATAACCCCCAAAATCAATCCCAGCCTTCCTTTCATGGTATTGAACCTTATGGTAAAATTTCATGGAGATCCATTCACTTAAACTAAAGTTAGAGTGCGAAAACCAATGTGTCTTCGGACGACGCCGGAAGACGCCAGACGACGACGACGACGACGACGCCAACGTCATACCAATATATGACCAAAAATTTTTAATTTTTGCGGTCGTATAAAAAGACAGATGAATAAATACTTGACATATTAATATAACTTTTTAAATTACCTCTAATTTGTTTGTTTGAACTTGCTCTAAAATCAATGTTTTCTTCATAAGTTCTGCCTTTGTTTTTTCAAGTTCTCTTTGTTTTTTTGTCACCTGTGCTTGTAACACCTTGATTGTATCTTTACTTGCTTCAATTCTGAAAAACATTAAAAATTTGATCAGATTTTCATGAAAACATGACATTGGTCAATGAACCATGGAAGAAAGTTTAAGTTCAAGAGACCCGTGACAGATGGACATGTACATCTGACAATGAATCAACAGACCAAATATAGCTTTTGGATCACTTAATGTAATTAAACTTATTAACTATTCATGAATCATTAACATTGATCTAATTCAGTCATTAAACTATGAAAAATATATCATAGCCAATTGATATATAAACTGCAGACCATCAGGCAAAAACGTCCAACCAAAAGGCATAATGCTCTAGCGCACAAGGTTATAGTCTGCAGGAAGACATCTTACTCTACTCAGTCTGACTTCCAAGTCAACCAGTCTTTACTTTGACTCCTAAATGCTGTGTAATTGGGGAAGAATTAGCAAATACCAATTTTTAGTTCTGATGTGACCTAGCCATCAATGGAAGCCATTAGCTACAGCACTAGAAGAGAGCATAAACCACAAGACTACCAAGGCAGATATATAAGAAATAACTTTCATTATACCACAATTAAAGAATTACAAATGTACTTACTTAGAATTTTGCACCAATACTTGCTGTAGCTGCATGTTTTTCTTCGCCAATTCTTGTCGTAATTTCTCAATTTCTGCATTAAGATCAGGGCTACCAGATTCTAGTCTACACAATGAAACAAAAATAACAAGATCAAAACTATTTCAATGTAGTTATGTATAGTCTAGTTGGAGACATTAAATATGAGACAAAAGTTGGAAAAATGCCAAATTCTCTGCACATTTAACAACATAACAATATCTTAAGGAATAAGAGGCCATATTAACCATCTGATAAATAAACTTTTTACAACAAATTTTAGACCATTAAATATTTTTACAATACCTTCTTACCTTTGAAAGCCTCTACTAGGTTGCAGCTTTCCACCATCATTAGGCCTAAAACCATTTCCACCATCATTAGGCCTAAAAGCATTTCCACCATCATTAGGCCTAAAACCAAACCCAGGGCTAGCTGCCACATCACCATACCCTCCTCCCCCACTATCAGCATATCCCCCTCCACTGCCTATAATCTGCTCTCCCATTGTGTTCTGCATTAATGGACTTGCTGAAATCAACTCATTACAATGTTATCTAGGTAAACACATAATTTGCTTTGTATCAGGGAATAGTTATAAGCCTACTGATATTAAACTGTGATTCTGCTTAATAGTCAAAGATGTTATTTTTGAACTAACACATGGTCTGTTTAACAAACAAAATGATTTATTATGGTCAGAATCTTGTATATTATCTGTGAAATATATGTTAAATCAGAATTTTATTGTTAAAATAGGTACCCAATCATTTCAAGCTTTTGATTACTAGAGCATTTGAAACTAGCTCAAACATCAATAAAATCTATCACTGTGTTATCACAATGATAATTTTCTTCGGACCTACCTGTGACTCTGTTAATGGCTATCATTCCTGGTGCAGCATTGTCATCAGATTTATTTGCATTCATAGCAGGGCGAGTATATGCAAAGCCATGTTCCTTAACCTGATCATTTAGACATACTCCGCTTCCATACAATATTCCATAATGTCCTGTGTTGTCCTTCAACTGAACAGTCTTTACTGCTTCAAGCATGATATTCTCTGTCACATTCTTCAGATAATTTATACCCTATAAAACACAGGTTTTTTTTAAGTTCTCCCTGTTCTGGTTCCAAAATATTTCACCCACAATGCCAAACGTGTATTAGACTGCAACTATTTTCTCAAAAAAATCATAAAATCAAAATTAGTTGCAAGTTAAACTGAAATGTTTGAAATTTGAGAGTATTATTATTTGTAAGATTTGAAAATAGTTTTTATATTTTTTATTTGGATATGTACAATAAAGAGTATTTAAAAGATGCTGGATTTTGGAGCTCATTAACATAAAGAATTTGATATCAAATATAATACAAAATTTTCTATAAATCTGTACTGTCTTGTCAAAAACAAGAACTTTTCAAACTGCATGAATTACCTGTCTGTTAACAAACCATATAAATTGGAATCAATGTGTCAATATTTCAGCTTAAAATTGATTACCTAAATTGAAAATATTGGCCAATGGCTGACCACTGCACTAAAAGAGTGATGGCTTCAGACATGATTTCATCACATTTATGTATTTCAGAAATGCTTGAGAGATTTTGAGGCCTTGCATAATATTATTTATATCACATGTGAATCTAACATTACTTCATAATGCAATTTTTTTCTTAAATGCAAAATAAAAAGGACCATGGAAACAAATAGTTTTTATTCATTTATATTTATCATTATAGTGGATTTCGGCCAGATCTTTTTTTTAATAGACACATAGGAATTTTTTTTGCAGGACAAAGTTATGCAAAAATTATTAAAGGATTAAATGGATTTTACTGTATAATTTTTCCTCATAAAGCTATAATTCATTAATGTAACTTACATTTTGATCAGACAGATCATGGGCATAACAATTATGAAGGATAAGTTTGGTAGCCAGTGGTTTGACTGAGGCCAATGACTGTGGAATCTCCACCAAGTGGTCAGCTTTCACCTCCTCTGTATTACCATAATCTATGTATTGTACCTTAATGGTGTCAGAACCTGCAAAATATAAGTAAAACATGTATAAACCAAACAGCTACTTTGGTATATTCAAAACAAAATTACTCTTCAAATATAATGTAAACCAATGAACATTTCCTTTGTAAATATGTTTTCACTTCCAGCATGAAAATATTTAAAATAAACGAATTGAGTCATTATAACCATTGAAGGCTAATGTAAGCGAGTCAGAATAATAAAAATTTGCATCACAACTTGTTATAATAAAAGAACAGAGTTCCAATGTCCCCCGCATTGCCCATATTTTATGTTCTGTCAAGGACAATAACTAAAAAAAAAATTTTTTTGTTCTTTAAATCTTTTTAAAATTATCTTACTAGAGAGTTGAAGCTTGAGAGCAATTTCCGATATATATAATATTTCCAATATAGAAACTCATTAAAAATATTTGATCAGCACTTATTTTTGAAATTGTCTGAGACATTGCTGTTATATACCTTTGATATGAATTTGATAAAAATCTGGCAAAAATTGTACATGCAAGAGCACTTACAATGTAATTTTCCATGTAATCAATGTTTCCAAGGGGCATAACTCTTTTAAAAATAATTGATCGGCACTGATTTTCGAACTAGTTAAAGACATTGCTGATATAAACCTATAAACCTCGCGTTCGAGGGGGACAATTACCACCATCAAATAGCTGGTGCTGTTGTTATAGCAACAAGATGGCTGCCCAAATTGAAAGGATTACTGTTCATGTGTAAAAGTGAGCATTAGCCTTGCCATTTTTGCAAGTAATAGAGCCTGGTTTGAAACTCCACAGTGTTGGTCATAGGCAGGTAACACTACATTGATAGGTCACTCAAAGCAAACTAATGATACACAATATTTTAAAATTTTATCAACAATCTTACCTAATGATTGATCGGTCCTTAATGTCCAGCAACAAATATACCATGCATATTCAAGACCAAAACATGGTTAATTAAGAATATATCAAGCTTTGTACTAGACTAAACACCCAGAGTGTGATTTTTCTTTGCATGCAAGCTTACAAGGTAACAGTCAACCTACCCTTACATATTTTTCTGACTCTCAACAAACAAGTCTTTGTTTTAACACCTAAGTTTACAAATTTTAAAGTATTTGGTTTAACAAAGTAGCAGGTTGAACCTCAACCTCCTGCACTAGAGGCATGAACCTAACATGAGACCAATGTCTTACCTAATGACTGTCTGATCTGACACCTATACCACTGATTATCTTCTGAGAACAAAGTGGCATAAATCTTTCCTTGAACAACAGGTCCAGATAATTTGGCAGCAGCTGGACAAAGGGCAGCTAACTGATCACTAAGATCCAGCAGTTTCTGTGTATTTTCATCAGTTACTGTTTGTATCCATACAGTTATAGGGCTTTCACAATGTGTGATCAACACATTTTCTCTCTAAAACATAAGTACATTAATACAGCTTTTACAGTTTTCAATAACACTATTACAATAAATGATCAAACAGGCTATAAATATTCCTTTAACTTTTCAACCTCACACAAAAATATGTTAAATGTTTTCTCTGTAAAAATTATAGGTTTGGTTGGCTTGGTCAGGGTCTTTTTCTTACAATCCTTCAAAACACCAAATATAGTTGAACTATTGCTTAAAGTATTCTTAAAAATATTGACATTAACATGAAAACTTTACCTTCATCACTGATCCATGAAATAAGGTCAGGGTCAGGTGACCGATATGTAGACCTCGAAATGATTATTTGTACCAAATATAGGACAAGATTATTTATACCAAATATAGTTGTCCTATCACTAATAATAATTGAGAAAATCACAAAATAAAAAGCTATACATTTTTTTCAAGCAGTTGCTGGACCTTGAAAATGAGATTAAGGAAAATAGACATATATGCGAGAGGAAAACTTAGTAACATAACACATCTGTATACAAGTTATGAAGTATCCAAGTATTCTAGCTTTTGAAATATTACTCTATATACAAATAGTCTTTCCTATTGCCATTCCTATGTCATCCCTTTGCTATTTTTATCAGAGGAGATATAAACCAGAAGCAAAGGAACAGCCTTTCAATTGTTGTTCTTCATCTCAAAGTCACAGTGAGACCTTCAACATGGAGTAAAAGCCCACACCTCACTGTAAGTTCAGCTAGAGGTACTGCTAGCAAAGTTCAATAAAGAGCTGCGCCATGATCGCATGATACTACCGTCGCTTTTTCAAAGAATAATGTTCCATAACTCCTCAATGTCATATTAGAAATTTATAAAAAAACTAAAGGGAGGTTATTTTAATAGATATAAACCAGTCACTAAAGTTTCATGAAAACTTCTCAAAGCACTTTTGAGTTATTGTCCGAAAACTGGAAAAATCCCCCTTTTTTAATGAATAAAACCCCAATAATCGGAAACGTAAAATCTTAAATTTATATAAATCGAGAGGGAGCTCACGTCAATAGATATAAATAATTCATCAAAGTCTCATGAAAACTGCTCAAAGCATTTTTGAGTTATTATCCGAAAAACTGGAAAATCCCCCTTTTTTAATGAATAAAATCCCATAGCTCAGAAACATAAAATCTAAAATGTATAAAAATCGAAAGGCAGCTCACGTCATTAGATATAAACAATTCACCAAAGTTTCATGAAAACTGCTCAAAGCATTTTTGAGTTATTATCCGAAAACTGGAAAATCCCCCTTTTTTAATGAATAACACCCCACAACTCGGAAACGTAAAATCTAAAATTTATAAAAATCAAAAGGAAGCTCACGTCAATAGATATAAACAAATCACCAAAGTTTCATGCAAATTGGTTAGAGTGTTTGTGAGTTATTGTCCGACATGTTGACGACGGGCAGACGGACGGAGAACGGTATACCATAATACGTCCCATAAACGGGAGTATAAAATAAGAAACCCCAACCCCTTGGCAAGTCCAATTTTTGATAAGGGACACCCCAAAAAGATTCCGATCAATAATCAAAATAGGAAGTTCACATTAGCATTGAATGGTTTAAGTGGTCAAGATTGTGAGAAAGTTTCAACAAATGTAATAAAGGATTTAGGAGGAGTTGTGGATACAAAAATCAAATTTTAAATGAGAACCCCTCCATAAAAAAGCGACAGCAAAACCTATGTTTTGTTAAGGGAAACCACAAAAATAATTCAGACCAAAAAACAAACTAGGAGTTCACAATGACATTGTATCGTTTAGAGTGTGAGTTTCATTAAATCAGATACAAATTGTTACTTAAGTGTGCAGATATGATAAAGTCCATATCATCCCAAAAATCATTCAGATGAAGAAATGAAAAAGAAGGTGCAAAAGTACGGTTATTATTCTGTTATAGTTTTAACAAAGTTATGTCAAGAGGTTTGAGAGTAGTTGCATATACAAAAGGGGACAGAAGGACAAACTGAGGGACATCACTATATACTAACTGCTTAAGAAAGCAGGGGGTATAAAAAAAGGTTCTTAGCTTAGGTTGAGGCAGAATTCTTTTCTAAAATTCAATAATGCTTCATCTGTGCATTAAAGAATACTGATGCATAGAAACATCAAATTACAGACTATGATGGGCAAAGAAGTCAAATCAATTACCTTTATAATTTGCTGGACGATCTCATTGTAATATACAGAAACATAAAAACATTGGGACCACCACAGGGAACAAGATATCTTTTAGATAACATAGCAAGATATATTAGAAAAAATAAAAAAAGATCTAAATGCTAATGATTAACATCCATGTGGAGAATGTGGAGGTTTGAAACTTCTATTTGTACCGTTACAAAACCTGTTACAAAATAATGAAATTTCTGGGTTGTCAAATTTTTCAGAAAAATACCTCTTTCCTGGACTCTGTTGGAGGTCTACTCTGGACTAAATCTGGAACTGTAAAAAGAAATATATATATAAAAAAGATCATTCTACAAATTATCTAACAAAGTTAATTATAAATAAACTAAGTCTTGAAACCCTCAGAAATAAATGTGAACAATAATTATCTTAGAGCTGTTTCCAGAATTAAATGCATGGGGGGAGCATTGGAGGCACTTTTTTTTTTATCCCGAACCACCAATAAAATAAAATTGTCATATTACTTATAATGCAGCCACCCACAGTTAATTACTCATTAATTTGAGTTCCTCCCCTCCCCCTCCCTTTCCCACAAAAAACCATGATCAATTTTGGAACAGCCCTCACGGCAAGTTATTATCAAGATATAGAATAATGATCATTTGAAAATACTGTGAACCATTTGTATTACAATAGGTGCTTGGTGATCTAAATAAACAGAAAACTTTTAAGTATGAATTAATAATTTAATTTTGGATGTAACACGTCTTCTAAAAGGCTGAAAGTTTTTCGTCTATCAGCTCATAGACATAATTTTGTCATGTGACCGTGACGTTATAAAAACAAAAAATACCTTCTGTACAGAGTTAAAAAATATCACACAGTTTTTGAGGGGTAATAGCAACCTTACAAATCAGAGTTGGACAACAGATGTTCAAATCAGTATGAAATTCATTAATTCACGTAACTATTATTTGGGATGCTTACATCCTTGTCATTTGGTGTTTGGTGAATAGTTGTCTTATTGGCAATAATACAATAATACTGCATCTACTTATAGTTATACTATTAAACTGTCAAATCTGTCCACACTGTTTTCAATATTCACAGAACTATATACCAGACTAGTTTTTTATTTCCATACAAATCACATAAATTTATACCTATACTATCATACTTGTTTTTACCTGCTTGTGATACTTGGGAACTAGGGCTACCCTCACTCAAATAATTTAAAAGGTTTTGCAACTTATCTAGAATCAAAATTATAATGTCTCAATCAGTATTAATCAAATCAGTAATACACAACATATGAATTTTTTTGTCAACTATTCTCATCAACAAAATGTAACTCCAGATTAGCATTTCTATATTGAATGAACTTTCAACATATACAAAGCCCAGAGTATGAAAAGTACTATCTTTCAACAAAATAGGTCATGGAAACTACAAAGTTGTACCAGAGATACAATGGACTGGAAGCCTTTAACAAACAGTAAGTTATGAAAGCTCATTAATATTCACTAGATTTTTTATATGTACACAACTTATAAATATTAGATTATCAATACCTGGATTCAAATTCAACAACTCAACAATATAAATGTTAACAAAGTATGAAGTACAAATCCTTTATAAACAAGAAATGAAATATGTAAGTAAACTTCTTTTTAAGTTTTTGGGGAAAACATGTATAATCATAGTACAGGTACTTTAAAAAAAAAAATGGCAACTTGCAATAACATATAAGCATTGAAATTAAATCAATTTCCTATACCTCATTTGTCTTTCACTCAAAGAGATTGATTGAAAAATTTCATTTCAAGATTTACATTTTTTGTTGTTTGCAACAGGAAAGAGGTTTTGCAAATACTGTAATTTTTGCATGCAATTATTATAGCAATTTTTTTTAACCACTTTTTCAGCACTATTGGCTATATTGTTGCGGCAAGTTCATACCTGCCAAACCTCCCGTTTTGAGGGGGAGTCTCCCGCGCAAACGACGAAATTCCAGAAATCTCCCACTGCTGGTCCGCCCCGCGCGGTTGTAGAGAATCTCCTGCTTTCGGATATTTTGACCTGGAATAACCCGTGTTCGTAATTCTCTGGCTTTTTCATTAGTTTCAATAGAAATAAATAAACAAACGGCAATCATTTGAAAACTTTGGTCAGTGGTTTTTATGTTCGATATACAAGTAATCGAAATTCAGTTCTGCTATGTCAACTCCAACAAGATAGAGGTCTTTGTCTGGACCAAGTGGCAGTGTAAAAAAGAATAAATAGATAACAGCAAAACGAAATGTCAAGCAGATTTGAATGAAAGATTTTTCAATTTTTAATACATAGTTCACTAGGCAATGAATCTTTTTGCACATCATGTTCAATCAACTTTTCGATTTCTTCTAGTGGTCTGTACGATGTTTGAAAGCATGCTTAGTGTTAGACTCACAACAAAATCAAAATATGGAATGTTATGAGTTATGAGACTCGGAGGTATTGAAAAAGGCTAAAAAAAAACATCTTGTATAGATTATAACCATGAATTAAAGGAATAAAGTATATTTATTAACCCTTATTGGTGTTTTGTAGATGAATACGTAAACAAGTCATATAATTAACTTGAAAATGACGATCACGCAAAATCTCAAAATCATAGCTGAGAGGGAGATCTCCCTCTTTGAAGGTTTCAGAGGTTGGCAGGTATGGAAGTTTTTATATTGAAGGTAGTCATGGAGTGTAATGATAAAACTATCACAAAAATTTTTGAATTGACAGTAATTCGCATTCTTCCTACCAAGACAACAGTGACATCTGTCCATGTTGGAGTAATTTTACCGATAAAAATGGATTAAAAGTATCAAATTATAAAAATTTCCAAAACCAAATCTCAATATGTAAAATGTAATTTTGCAATTTTGCAATGTGATAGTGAAAATAAAAAGCCTCCAATATTCTCATTCTAGGACATTATAATTTCCCAATAATAAAATTAGAAAGATTGTGTGTGCACAGATAGTTTTTTCACACAGTATCAACTATTAGCTTCACCTAAATCTGGTTTCTTTAAAGGCTTCTGTATATTTCTTTTATTTCTTGGTTTCTCTTTTTCATCAGAATCTTTGCCAACCCTGAAATTATTATAGAAATGGAGCTCAATATGGTATTTACTTAAGAAAAATGTCTTATTAGTAGTGCTTTGTTAATTTATGGATCATTGTTGTTTTTCTTAGTTTCTTCTGTAACCTATTCTAACATCGGACTCAGACTTCTTTTATTCTACATTGGCTAGACATGCTAGAGGTATAGGGGGAGGGTTGAGATCTCACAAAACATGTTTAACCCCAACAATTTTTTGTGCCTGTACCAAGTTGAAGCTGGCTGAAGCCCGCCTACAAGTTCAGGATTTTCTTGCTGTGTTGAAGACCCATTGGTGGCTTTGGGCTGTTTTCTGCTCCTTGGTCGGGTTGTTGTCTCTTTGACACATTCCCCATTTCCATTCTCAATTTTATCTTCTTTCTGATGACGATAATACAGTACTTCATACAGCAACTTACTTTCTGATTTTAACAGCTACCATTTTACAACTAATAAGAGGGTTTCTCAAATATACAGACAACTGGCATGTGAGCATCTTTTAAGTTTACTCAACAGCAGCAAAGACATGACAGAAATTTGTTTTAACAAAAATGCCATATACTTCCAGAAACTTTTTTAAAAATTAATTATTTATAATGCTAACTCTTAAGTGTCAAGTCATGCTAGTGTTATATTCCAAGTTCATGAAATTCAAATAATAATGACGTCATTTAAAATTTTCTTTTTCATTTCAAATTTCACTACTCTAAAGCTTACTGTTTAAAGTCTCTTTTTACTGAAATCGTCTTGCCATCAACTTCTTTGCCATCAATTTCTGACACTGCTTTGTCAGCATCTCCTTCTGAGAAATACTTGATAAACCTGTTTATGAAAGATTAAAAGAAATAGAAGATTGTAAACGATTGACTTACAGCTCAGCTGTTCGTGTATATTTAGTGCATGTATATATAAGGTTTGTTTGTTTTTAGGTGAACCACTTATTTTATTCATTTTTTTTTTGCAATAAAGATTATTTTTTATTCTGTAATAGCTGCTGTGGATTCATTTATTTTCGTGGATTGAGTAAATAATGCATTTTCCTGGATATTTGCTTTCATCATGTTCATGGTTTTGCCAGTCTGCACATAAGCATACAGAAAATTTAAATTAATGGTTTAAGGTAGATAGGGTGTCTTCCTCCATCTTGGATTTTGAAATACCAGAAAACAATCGGTCTAGATCTTTAATAAAAGGTGCAAATTTTGAGAGTAGTAGGTAATTCATGTGTAAGAATTTTCATTTCAATATAGAAAATGATCTATTTTATCATATTTATGGTTGTATTTTATAAAAAAAAGAATACTTTTGTTTGATTCTATTTTTTCCAACTTTGCCACATAAGGGGAGGCAACTCAAATGTAAGGGCAGATAATTCAGATAAAGTTACATTTACAATAGAATGTGTTAGGAATTTACCTATTTTATTATGTAGCAAGAAAACGGGTCCCGTGACCCCATTTTTTCTTTTTCTTATCTGAAAGCATACTAGTAGAGCTATCTTCTCATATTTTATCTCAAAATTCTATGGTGTAGTTTTCGTTTTATGGCAGAAAATTGGTTTTTCCATGCATAATCTATACAAAATCTGTCAATTTTGCACAATCTGTAGCGTGAAAATAAGCCCCGTGACCCATTCTTTTTATTATTTTTTTTTAAAAAGCATGATATAAACTACATTTTGGCAAATTATTAAAAAATTCTATGGATTATAATTTAGACACCCCATCTACCTTAAATATACATTTATCCATGAAATCCACGAAAATTGGTATCCCATGAGTATTAATAATGAATCCACAGTAGTGTGAAATGATGAATCCAGGACATGTTAAGCCTGTTTAGCAATAACAGTAGTGTGAAATGATGAATCCAGGACATGTTAAGCCTGTTTAGCGAGAACCTTTAATCTCTTTCTGTAGCTGCGACATCTATACCTATGAAATTTAGATTAATTGGATCACAAACGAAAACAATTACCTCTCAATTACTTTACCATTACAGACTCTCTGTTATCCTCTACATGTCTTTTGGATTTTTTTGTCATTGGGTTTGTTTCAATGAAGTATCCCCTGAATAAACATTTATTTATTTATCAAAAAAGGGAAAAGGGGACTATTGTACTAATTAGAAAAACTGAAAAAGGAAGTGGTGATGCTTGGAATTATAACATACAGAAATGGGAGATTCACAATTGTGACAAGTTTTATCCATTTTTGACGTGAACGTTACATTTCATGTTCACAGTATATAAATTGGAGGGATCTAGAATAAACAATGTGTATACCCTGTGTAAAGATTGTTCTCAATCTTTCTTACAATACCTTTAGTCTCTAGATATTTATTCTATTCAATAGCTTTTCGAAATATCTTAGCCAGGTTTTCTAAATAAAATAACAACTAAACTACTATTTCAAGAAATAGAAATTATTATTATTACTATAAATTACTACAAAGAATGAAAGTACAATATGTTTAACGGTTTTCTGTGATTTTCGTGCGTGAAGTATTTACCTATTAAGTTTCTGTAAAGATCAGTTCAAATTCGTTTTGCTATTCGGAAAATCCCCTTTTTATAATACTTATCACGCCTTATCCTTGCGCGTAAGAAAATAGGTCGCTACTGGTCAAGGTTAATCATATAAATCACTGTCAATACATACGTAAATATTGGATTATAAAGAAAGCAATCACGATTTCATACGTCTCGACACCGATTTATCAATATAAAGCATATAAATACAAGTAACTAAAGAAATGTAGGATTAATAACAAGTTAGAAAACAAAGATGTTATTCGAATGCCACATGTTGGCGGAATTTCGTAACGCTAAATCGGCAACTGCCAATTTTGCCGGGAACGACGTTACGTTAACACAAATGTAAAACCGCGTTATTGAATGTTTACAACACTGCCCTCCGTCAAAATAGAATTTCGTCTCGAAATTTAAATAATTGCGAAATATTAAATCATTAGATACAATTAAACAAAATCTAATCAAGCACCTGCTATCTCAATAGAATATTAAAATTAAGAAAATTTGTTTTTGTCAATGTTGACTAGATCACGAATATATCACAATTCTTGACACGTATAATAATAAAAGTGTACCAATGATATATAAAACAATATACATATAAATAATGTCAACAATTTTGTAGTTTTGTGTCTTTCAATATAATAAATAAACTGTTTATAAAATTTTCAATGTTTTCTTTGTCCAACAACTTCACTGTATTATTGGTTCGTCTCTTTTTGTCTTTCTTTCTGTATCCTCTTCTGTTCTTTTTTTTTTCTTTATGTGTCCTCTTCTGTTCTTTTCTCTTTCTGTGTCCTCTTCTGCTCTTTTCTTCCTTTTTCTCCAATCTTTTTGTGTGTCTTGAGTTACCTGTTTTTCATTCTCATGTTCTTTCTTAGTTTGGTCTAAATCTGTTTCACGGAAACTTTCTTTCAGTTGACTTATTTTTTCCACCTGACAGAAAAAGTTTCCATCCTCTTTTTTAACTGAAACATTTACAATTTCTTCCGTAACTGGAATATTTTGATTTTCTTCTGTTACTGGAACATTCACAATTTCTTCTGTAACATTTACATTTTCTTCTGTAACATTTACAGTTTCTTCTGTAAAATTTATATTTTCCTCTGTAACATTTTCATTTTCTTCTGTAACATTAACGTTTTCTTCTGTAACATTAACAATTTCTTCTGTAACATTAACATTTTCTCCTTTAACATTTACATTTTCTTCTTTAACATTTACATTTTCTTTTGTAATATTAACGTTTTCTTCTGTAACATTTACATTTTCTTCTGTAACATTAACATTTTCTTCTGTAACATTAACGTTTTCTTCTGTAACATTTACATTTTCTCCTTTAACATTTACATTTTCTTCTGTAACATTTACATTTTCTTCTGTAATATTAACATTTTCTTCTGTAACATTAACGTTTTCTTCTGTAACATTTACATTGTCTCCTTTAATATTTACATTTTCTTCTGTAACATTTACATTTTCTTCTTGCAAGAGCTCAGGCAACATCTGGACATCGACCTTGTCCGTCTGTGTACCCTTATAACTTGTACTGGTAATATTTCCTATATGTACATGTACATGCATGTCCTGCGTACTTGCTACCATGGGTTTTCTGTCATCGGCCATTACCGGCTCTACCATTGAATCTCTGATTGACAGGAACTCACTTCTTTCCGCTTCTTTGTCAACGATAAGCCCAGAATTGGTGTCCTTTACTCCGACTCTGGCTTCTCTATCAGTTTGTCTCTTAGTCTCACATTCAATCCGCTGACCATTAAACTGTAAGCCTTGCATAGGATTGATTGTGATATTCATTTCATCAATTAGGTCACAACCTAATAACATGTTATCTCCAATGGGTGCTACATAAACTGGCCATTTGAAGGTTTCACTTCCCAGATTAACTTCCACCTCTGTAATCCCTCTTGTTGTCAAGTTCTTACCGGCCTCAGCAACTACCAAATTTCTTGCTGCTCTCCTTAGTTTTGGCCGTTTACTCCCAGGAATCTGATTATACAACTTCTCACTTAGAACCGTCACCTCTGCTCCAGTGTCAATAACTGCATTCGTCACAATCTTGTTAATGACCACTGGAACTGTAATGCTAGCTGCTGTCACCCGAGCAATGATAATATTTCCTTCTATCCCGTTGATCGGTTCTGCACTACCCATTACCTCCTTTGGTGTGTTCTCTGGTGTGTTCTGTTGTATCTCCTTAGACTCCTCAAACAACATCTCTAGGCTTAAATCTAGGTCCCGTATATCTAGGCTATCTTCTTCAAATGATCTCTTTATATAAGCTGTATTCACTGATTTTTTCGGTTCAACCAAATGCTCTTTCATTTGGCAATGTTTCTCTTCATATTTCAAATTATTCTCTTTAACTTTTTCTTTACCATGTTTAGGGGCTGACACTTGGCCGATAGTCTCAACCCTTAGCAGTTTAAAGACTCTTCATTTTGGTTTTGACTCCTTTCATTATTCCTTATAAAACCACTTCTGTTTTCTTTATGATAGGGGCTTCTCTTTTCTTTTGGACAATTTCTTATGTAATGGCCTTCCTCATTACAGTTAAAGCATCTGGAATTCTTCATCTTGGTCGTATGGTCTTTATACACTTGCTTATTTTGCCCTGGACTACTGTCATACTCCTGTTGTGTATAGTACTTTGCCATTTCTCTTTTAATGGTTGTCTCTAGTGACTCCGAAATTCCTCTTTCAAACTGAGTCATTCTTTCTTCTGTAACAAATCTTTTCCCTCCTACTTTTCTGACCTCTATATCTTCGGACCCGCAATCATTTCTATAAATGTCCTCTGTTGTACCAAGCTGACAAATGTTTCTATCTCTTGTACCTCTCTTATATGTTTCATACAGGGTAACTTGGTGTATTGCCTCTGTTATGCTGGTTATCCTTTTTGTCAGTAGCTCAATAGCAATACTCTGGTCCGGCAATCCTCTAAGCATATACTCCACACTGAGTGTACTGTGTGTTGCTGTGTCAATTGTGGGGAAAGACTTCCTGACCAACATCTCGACCCTTGAAGCATACTCCTGAATTGTTTCTCTATCATACTTTCTCAGAGTATGAAGCTCTTGTCTGTATGTTTCCGGGTACCCGTGATCTCCAAATCTATTTGACATGGCTGCACAAAGTGCTGAAAATGATCTTTTTGTCTCTGGTGTAAGAAATGAGGCATGTACCATTGCTTCATCTTTGAGGGCTGTAACCAGTTCTATGGCTTTGGTTGATGGAGTCCAATTATTCATTTCTGCAATCAATTCAAATTGCATCACATATGCATTCCATGGATCCTTCCCGTTATAGAATGGCACTCTTGTTCTGCGTCCATTTTCATTAAATATTGGAACTTCTGATGTATTGATATACTGTGGTCCACTGGAATGCTGTATTGGTAACAAGTTTGGCTCTGTGATTGGTTGATATTGTTGGAAATCTCTATTTTGAACTGGAAATTGTGAAAAATTACTGTTCGGGGCTTGATTTTGTATATATCGGCTATTCTGTACTGTATTTTGCGAATAGTTACTTCTTTGCATTGTATTATGAGGATAGGTGTTGCTCACAAATTGACTCTGAGTATACAAGTTCTTGTTAAGAACTGGATTCTGTGAAATACTGCTGCTAACAATATCCTGGTTTACATGGCTATGGGTACCAGCATATACATTCGGCTCTATATACTCTGTTGACTGGGTAATTGTGTTGACCAGATTTTGATTAGGGTTTGTTTGACTTGAACTTGGTATCTGAAAGCTGTTTTGTTTGGCTGTTCTCTTTAATTCAAAATTTTCATTCTTTAAGGCATCTAATTGTCTTCTTAATTGTGTGAGCTCATCACTATCAGAATTGGTTGATCTTGAAATTAAAGCGCTATCACTTCGACTTTGAGTTGGAACAAGGAACGGATTAGTGTTATTCTCAATTTCTTTACTTATAGCAGGTAAGTTGATAGTATGATCCATGGTACAAGGATTTTCATCAGTCAAATGAGTTATCTCCCTTTCTCCTTCATTAGTAGGCAATATATTTGGATACTTATTTATTGTCTCCCCATTACTGAATTCAGGGATATTAAACCTTGCATTAAAATAATCATGAGAGTTTCTAGATTCCCCTGAAAAATGGGCCTCCATATTCCCAGATGATATGGCATGGTTGGGAATGGCTAAACTACTTGGTGGGTTTATTCCAGATCCCCTTCCTCTTCCCCTTCCTAAAGACATTGATCCCGTAGACATACTAGGTTGTCTATTTCTCAAATTATACATCCTTCTTTTGACTGCTAAATGGAATCAAGAGTTTCAATTTACTAATCAACTTGGATTAAATTTTATCCTTGTTGAAATTGATAAAGAATTTCCTATGCCTTACTTTTAAAACACAATTTGGATTATGAATCTATCCTTACTTTGTGAAATAGACTATATACATTACAAACTTGAAATAGACTATAGACGTTCAACTTTGACCTTAATGAAATATAACTACAACTTAGATTTATATTTATCCTTGTTGTAAAACTTATTTTGTGAAATGTACTATTTAATTTACAACTTCGAAATAGACTATAATTTTTATTTTTTAAACTTCGACTCTATCGAAAAATTATTATAGCTACAACTTGGATTTATATTTATCCTTGTTGTAAAAAATAAGCTTATGAAATGGACTATTTAATTTACAACTTTGAAATAGACTATAAATTTTACAACTGGACCCTATTGAAAAAATTATGGTTTTAATATTATTATTCAACTTGGATTCAGATTTATTCCTGTTAAAAATAGACTCCTAACTTTAAAACTCAACTTGGATTAAAGTTTATCCTTATTGAATATGGTATTCAATATTAATCTAGCTCAACTTGGATTTTATTTTATCCTTGTTGAAATTTGACTTAAAATTTTTTATCTTTTAATATTCAACTTAGATTAGAATTTATCTTTGTTGATGTATACTCAAATTTAATAATTATAACCTTTTCAACTTGGATTAGAATTTATCCTTGTTGACATAGATTTTGATTAACTATATTATTTCTTTTCAACTTGGATTTATATTTATCCTTGTTGAATTTAAAACTATTGAAAGATATACTATAAGCTTAATTAATCTCACCAACTGTACTTTTCTTTTCTTTCACCTTTTGTTGAAGTGTCCTTTTTATTATGTTCAGTTTTTTTTTTTAAGTGTAAACAAATATGGACAGTAACAATTTAAAATATTTTTACTTATCAGTTGCGTGCCTAATAAATTATTCACGTAGATTCTTAAAATTTTCTTTAAAAAGAAAACTAAATTCGCTGCCACCAGTGTAAAGATTGTTCTCAATCTTTCTTACAATACCTTTAGTCTCTAGATATTTATTCTATTCAATAGCTTTTCGAAATATCTTAGCCAGGTTTTCTAAATAAAATAACAACTAAACTACTATTTCAAGAAATAGAAATTATTATTATTACTATAAATTACTACAAAGAATGAAAGTACAATATGTTTAACGGTTTTCTGTGATTTTCGTGCGTGAAGTATTTACCTATTAAGTTTCTGTAAAGATCAGTTCAAATTCGTTTTGCTATTCGGAAAATCCCCTTTTTATAATACTTATCACGCCTTATCCTTGCGCGTAAGAAAATAGGTCGCTACTGGTCAAGGTTAATCATATAAATCACTGTCAATACATACGTAAATATTGGATTATAAAGAAAGCAATCACGATTTCATACGTCTCGACACCGATTTATCAATATAAAGCATATAAATACAAGTAACTAAAGAAATGTAGGATTAATAACAAGTTAGAAAACAAAGATGTTATTCGAATGCCACATGTTGGCGGAATTTCGTAACGCTAAATCGGCAACTGCCAATTTTGCCGGGAACGACGTTACGTTAACACAAATGTAAAACCGCGTTATTGAATGTTTACAACACTCTGCATAGAGACATGATAGAGTTGATATACTTACTTTTAGTGCTGAACTTACCCATATTTATAATCTCCTGTTTTAGAAGTTCTGATGAACATGGAAGCTGTTTCTCCAAATCTTGAGAAAACTTTTCCAACATTTTTCTGAAAAACATTGATGAAACAGCAGTTTTATAAAAACACACAGTCAAGCCTTTTGTAGATCTAAGATATCTTAGCTTTATGCCTATTTATTTCAACATCATTCTGCTGTATTAGCTTTATGCCTATTTATTTCAACATCATTCTGCTGTATCAGAGATTTCAGTTTGAACTTGGTATCAAACACAGTAATTGGAATCTCTCACTAACATTCAGCGAAACATAGAAAATACCCAAGCCATTTAAGTAGTTTCTCTTTCATTTTGATTGAAACCTAAAATATGGACAGGATAGGAATATAAGGAATATTCTGAAAAATGTTTTTAAAACACAAAAAGACTTTTAATACATATGAAACCAGTTTCTGGAACCAATGCATGCGTAAATTATAAACAAAGTCCTGTGTGTACGTTTATTTTACATTCATTACGAAGCCAAAATATATAATCGACAACACATAATTCATTTGGTGATTATTGATCGAAAACATTGGCTGTTAAGTAAATTTTGGGATTTCAGGCTGAAGTTTACCGATTGTGACCCTGTTAAACAATCAACACATGCATTTTTTTCCATGCATTCCCATTTGTTAATTACGTTTTTCATAACACTTGTTAAATGATTTGGTGTATTCACATCTTTCAGACTCACTTAGCTTAAAACTTTCCAAGTTTGTTAAATTTATTTCCATCACAGTTTTTCCTTCGTATTTGTGTTGTGTGATTGCTGAATTTTTAACACGAGGTGTCATGACATAATTTTGTATTTACATTGTGTCATAGATCAAATTTATTCGTTCAGTGTATGTTCACTTGTTTTTGTTAATATGTCTTTTGATTGAGTTAAGCCATTTCAATTGATATTTTTTAGTGTGTCTTTCTATGTTGTGATGTTACACTATTGTTTCAGGTAGGGTGAAGGTTGGCGCCTATTAAAACATTTAAACCAACTGCATTTATTTGCACCTGTCCTAAGTCAGAAACCTGATGTTCAGTGGTTGTCGTTTGTTGATGTGGTTCATAAGTGTTACTGTTTCTCGTTTTTTATATAGATTAGACCGTTGGTTTTACACTAGTCATTTTTGGGGCCCTTTATAGCTTGCTGTTCGGTGTGAGCCAAGGCTCGTTGTTGAAGGCCGTACTTTGACCTATAATAGTTTACTTTTACAAATTGCAACTTGGATGAGGAGTTGTCTCATTGGCACTCAAACCACATCTTCTTATATCTATATAGTTCACTCAATACAGAAAAGCTGACAGTGAATTAAATTATAGGAAGACAATGAATCAATAGCAGTACATTTCTTAAGATTTGGATAAGACAAAAGATTTTCTTTTTAAGGAAATTCTGTAGACACATGTTTCATAGTAAAACTTAGCCATTCAAGTATAATGGGTTTTTGCCTTCCAGTATACTTGTAATGAAATTCGATTATTCAGGTGGAAATGATTGTTAATTAAATAAACACATTGATTTCTATTTTATTGCACTCATTGTTCCTCTGAGTGCAGCAAACCAGTACTTATACCAGTATACTTCACAACAAGGGAAATATTTGTATTCAAATTTTAAAACTAGATTTGTGCTATTGGAAATGTGTTCCTTAACACATACCCCAACTCAAACATGTATTAAGCAAACAAAAGAGGACCATAGAAGCAGGGTATAGAATAACAAGAGGCTGTCAGAGTGACAGCAAACCGGATTTTCCTGCAGAGGTCGAACCCTGAACAGTTGAGCAAGTATGGACACAACATTTAAGCTAAAAACAGCTCTGAATTTGGATTGTGATTGAATATTTGACACAGGTTTGTGACACAAAATGAATGTGGTCAAAGAACTCAAAAATTTGAAATAGGACATTTACCTATTATGGTCCAATATCCAAAATCTAAGTACATTGTTAGAATCAGCATATCAAAGAACCCCAAGAATTCAATTTTTGATGAAATCAAACAAAAGTTTAATTTAGGACCCTTTGGACCTCAATGTGGTATTCAGGGCTTCCAAAATTATTTTTAGCCAGCCGGACATTTTATATATTATCCCGATTTTAATCCTTTAAGACTAAATAAACAAAAGGCAATTATGGTAATCAGTTGCCGAGTTGACCATCCCAATGATTGATATTTAAAAAAACCGATATTAAACTTTGATTCAAATTCGAAGTTCTGACGTAAACTGTTAATTTGGCAGTGCATCATCCGAAGTGTGCAACATCAGCGTACTTATATCTGCCTTAGACTCTTTATTTGTGCAAAATAACGTTGTCAAAAACTTTACTTTCGTTTTAAATCTGAAACCGGATGTTATCTTGACAATGGTAAAACATGGACCAGAGACGGATACGTAAATTCTGTGTACGTTTGCAAAGCATGAATGAGTGTAAGTAGCTCATTCTACGTTATTTCTTCAAGAAAATATTCGAGATAAACGTGAGATAAAGGTATCAATGACAATTTAAGCAATTTTTTTAAGAAATTAGGATGCATAATTAAATTTCACACCTATGCACATGCGCAAACGTGTACTAGTTCAAACAGAGACATGTCTCTGGTTCAAACAACGTGGTTATGACGAATTTTCATTTTCACCTCTTTAATTTTTTCATCAAATCTTATTTGTAAATGTATTTCTGATAATTTAAATCTTTTTGACTAAATTAATTAGATGCAAACCGGTGAAATGTAAGAAAATTACTTTGAATAGACCGATCAATGTCCGGTTCAAAATAGTTTACCTGTCACCTGAACAGGTAAATTTCAGCTGTTCGACAACTAATTAGCCTTGATTAAAATGAGAAGGTACTAAAGTAGGGGTTGTTTTGATAGTACTTAATGATCATGTCACTTTTATGACCGGAAATGTGTGGCTGTTAAAGGCAAAAGGTTGGGTCAAAAAGATCTCGAATTATGTTAAAATGACCGTCTCTTAAGAAAGCCTTGAAAAATAAAAAGTAGATGACCGTTTTTGTGCTTTGCCCAGCCGGACTTTTACCGGACATTATACAAATGTCCGGAATATATGACCGTTTTGGAAGCCCTGGTATTATCTAATTAATAATGAAAATAAATAAAGGTTTAGATTCAGCATTTCAAAGAACCCTATATATATTCAATTTATGTTGAAATCAAACACAGTATAATTTTGGACCCCGATTTGGACCAACTTGAAAACAGGGTCCAAAATCAGAAATCTAAATATATGTTTATTAATAGACAAACTAAGCTTAGTTTTTAAAGGTGTTTGTTTCATCAAAAAAAATATATAGCATTCAGAAAATAAGTTTATACAGAATAACAAAACAAACCTACCACAAAATTCTTCAAACAATTTACCAAAGAAAAGAAGAAAAGAAATCCAAAATGTCATTTATCATTAATACAATATCTATTAAAAATCTATAAAACTTATCTGTAATTATCTTCAAAATGTCTAATAATCATGATAATGAACAGTAAATTTCAAACATTATTTATACTGTCCTACAGATATTAAAATCATCAACACATAGGAAACAGAAAATTTTCAAATAAATCTGTCACTCTAATTATAATTGTGTGATAAGATATTTACCAGATGCTTTGTTATCTGATAACAGGTGAAAATTATTTAAAAACACTTAGTGCAATCAAACTTTATATATATAATTAATAGTTACCAATATTTTTTCTTTCATTTGTCACAAACTAATATAGATCTGCCATAGGCGGATCCAGGGGGGGCCCTTTTGTGGGAAAAATTTGGTTGCTTATATAGGGAATCACTGAAGCATGACTGGAACGGCCCCCCCCTTAGGTCAGTCAGCGCCCCCCCCCCCTTATGAAAAGTTCTGGATCCGCCACTGTCTGCAACTTAATTATCAATGTCAACAATTTTATCTACACAATGTAATGTAATGAAATATATCCTTTCATAAAAATAGATTATTATCTAATGAAAATGATATTTGCAAATCACGATTTCTGTTCAAAGGGAAATAACTCAATCATATAATAAGTATAACTTTTGGCTACTAAAAGGTCGACAACTCAATGAGAAAAGCTAAAATCGTGAAAAAAGAACTTGACCTTCTTTAATCACAGGAAACAAGATATCTAAATTTGAAAAAATTTCGTCAAAGCGTTTGCATGTTAATGAACCGACAGTGTTTGGCAGCCGCCCGCCCTCCGTACATCCCCAAATTAATAACCAATTTTTCCATTGAAAATCCGGTTAACCAGATGAAGCTAGGTAAGGATAGTGAAAAATATGATAAAACTTTTATATAATTTCATGAGCAGGACATTATAAAGATACAAGTTTTAAACAAACAAAGTATAATATTAAAGCTTGGTGGCATATAAATATACACATGCATCAAGAAGCAGTGTCTTGCAGTTGCTCTGTAAAATGTATCAGCAACCTGATATGGACACAAGTAAAACCTTTTCAAAGATACCAGACTTATTTCGACGCCAGATGCTCACTTTGTCTACACAAGTATATCAGTAAACCAGTATACCCCAGTGTTCTCCCCAGAAATTTTGGATAGCATTACATTTGACGTAAAAAAATAAACTGTATTATTTTCAATGTCATTCGTTGCATCGCGACAATGCACTATTTCCTTTAAGTTATGTTTATATTGTTCAATTCATAACTGAGAATACAATTAAAGTATAACAGTTGTTTCAGTTTATGTCTTCTTTATTCATTTATAGTTACACAATTATACTTTTCCTCTTGTCAGAAACTACAAAATGTACCAACTTAATATCTAGTACAAAAAAGAACTTTCTTTTATATCAAAGAGGAAGAGAAAGTATCATATAGCAATAAAATTTCAATTTAAAAACTATTCTGTTTATCATGTTTATGAAATTCATTGTTTCCTGGGACTCAATGTATTAATAGTCCCAGTTAATGTTTCTTATCAAAATGATATATATTTTTAACAAAGTTAAGCTACTTTAATCAGTATATTGAAACAATGCATTTACAAAATGAATACATTTAGCAAG